AGCGGCGGTTGTGCCTAAGTTATTAGATAACGCATGGCTTTACATTAAAGTCTTGAGGGGAGAATGCCACAAAATTATCTGTGATAAATGTTGCCTCATACAGATGAACATCAAATGACGCTCATCTGTGTGAGGCAACACGCAAAGCAGATGGGGGTATGTTCCGGAGTTTCGTGAGATATTTAAATTGCTCTCGTGCAGGCTACTAATTAGGGCCAGTGGCAGCACGAGGCATCATCAGCCAAGCAAAATCTTAGGGCCCCAAACAGCTCAAGGGGCTCCAGATTGACAACAAAAGTGGGTGTCTCAAATATCAGCTTTAATTTAAATCCTAATTCATCTCTCCTCTGTTACGTCACTACATCTCTACCTTTGGTCTACACTTATATTCTCTCATTACATATGTTTCTCTCGTCTATATCTCACCTGTCATTGCCATTCTGGGTACCCCCCAAAAATATTTCTGCTTATGCCCCTGCTGGGCTAGCTCCAGCAGGGGGTATTACATTTGACACCGTGACGTCGAAGCGCGGCCCCCCCCCCCGCCCAAAGCGCGGGGCCCCGGGCAGTCGCCCCGATTCGCCGTTACCCAAGCGACAGCTCTGGCTAGCACTACCACTGTTTAGAGCCATAGAGGTGGGGAGATGTGGAGCAGCCTCAGTGCCTCACCTTGTCCCATACGAGACCCACGGCGGTGTGCGTGAACCACTGCTTAATCCTCCACCCAGTGGCGAATGAAAATGTGCATGCTTTTTAAAATTTAAATTGTGAATTTCGTGCGTGAATATATTATGTAATTGCACGCCCATCGCAAACAGAACGGTTTCAGCATGCAGTGCTTTGAATTTTGTTGAGAAAACGAACTGGGCTCAGGGCTGCCGTTTGTTCATCAGCTGTCTTCGTCGGAATGAAGGTATAAATCAGGGTCACTCTGCAACTAGCAGAGTGCACAATTATACGCGTTATTTATCACAGGCGAGCTCACACCGGCCTCACTGCTGAACATGAGATAGTTTAATCGCTCCGTCTCCCCTTTTGGCTGGGATTCCATCACGGGCCTCATTCATTGGCCTCCATCCTTATAATGATGAGTCCTGCCCAAGCCCATTTTTCTAAACAGTCAATACGATGTCTCTAATATGTGCTGTTTCTCTGATCCATGTGCTCATATTTCTGTCTCTCAGTCTACTTCACAGCATGCTTGTGTGCGTGCTTTTACTTTAGAGTTGAATCCATAATAGAGTTTGTTTTGGGTTAAATCGTATAAATATAAATGTGCGGTTAAACCCGCCACCATATTTTTGATCCATATATCATAGCAGGCAATATGCAATGACGTCACGCGATTTTGGACGATTTTGGACCCCTCCCCCCTCCTCGTCACACGGCCTCACAAAAAGTCAGACTCCCCCTCAAATATGACGTCACAAAACTCTGCCCCCCCCCCCCCCATAAAATAAAACGTGCTTCAAATTTTGATTTAAAGCTTTCGTGACTGCAGGGATTCATATTCTTGGTTCTTTCGGTAAAGTCACGTAGAAGGGAAACAATAAAACAATTAATATATATATAACAATACAATTCTCACGACGTTTCGACTGCATTACAAGCAATCATCATCAGGTGTGAAAACCACAGCAAGAACATTTTTCACATTTCTCAATTTTTCAAATTTTGCAAATTTTTTTGCTGTGGTTTTCACACCTGATGATGATTGCTTGTGTTGCAGTCGAAACGTAGTGATAATTTTTTTGTTTTATATTTTTTCATTTTATTGTTTCCCTTCTACGTGACTTTACCGAAAGAACCAATAATATGCTTCAAATCGCTTTAAACTATTGTCATTATAGTGCGTATTTAATGTGGCGCTGCACTCTGATGTTGTAGGAGAAAACATTTATTTAAAAAGTCTATTTAAGTATAACGTGTTGTCTATATTTATTTAAAGTTGCGCATTTTGATGTGACGTCACATTTCTCAACACCACACCCCCCCTCGTCACGCATCGTCACAAATGTCTGACCCCCCCCCCCTCCCCCAGGACCGTGACGTCATTTATGGACGGTCCCCTAGGCATACTGGTGCTGTATGTTGCTTTTCATCATCAAATCCAGTTTTACAAAATAGTCCCCGAGCTGCTGTCTCTCACGGTGAGTCTCACGCTTTACGTAATCAATTTGATTTGTACTTTGTCACCTATGACAGGCAAATCTTGCTGTAGCTGTTCCATCATTGGAATGGATAACAGGCACATAAAGCGATTAAGGTTTGGTTTGGGAGAGCTTGGATGACTGCCTAAGATTCCACTAAATCAAATACCTTCCTCAACGCTTTTACTCAATACTCTTGTGGTTCTTTCGGTAAAGTCGAGTCTGTTTTACTTAACTTGATTTCTCTGTCGTGGTCAAATCTTGTAATCAAAATTTCGTCCACTTCCCGTTGTCCAATCAATTCCACATTTTGCACACGTACTCAGATCCGGTGACAATGCATGCCCGTATCGAAATCGGCATCGATTAATCAATTAATTCCCTACTTTAAAGCAATTCACTTTTTGTATGGACGCCTTATTATTTATATATTTGTGTGTAGGTCAAAAACTCCGCGGTCCCTAAACTGTGGAATCGGCTCGCACAAGACGCAGGCGCTGCGTGTCTCAGGCGCCAATGACGCACTTCTCAAATACCCTGAGTTAAACGAAGTTGTTAATAAAGCCGTTGTTTAAAAAAAAAAAACTTTTTAAAAGGAGTTTATTATTCTCTCAAAAGGCTCAACCATAATAGTACGGTATTTTATCTCCATGTCTTCTATCAAGTCTGATTGATAGTTTGTAGTTGCTGATCGAAATGCCTTTTCTAAAATGCAGCTTGCTCATGTGGTTGGTTAATCCCTACATTATTTGGTTGAATAACTAAGCTGAAACCAATATTTACTCTCACTGAAGCAATTTACCCCTCAAGCTAGTCAATTACTTAATTTGCAATGGGCATAATTAGATTCCAAAACAGTTTTTTTTATCTTAATTTAACCATCTCATTTTCATTTATTTTACAGTTTTGTTTGCTCCATTAACTTAAATGCCAAGTTACTGTCCAATTTGTATTCATAACTCCTCACATACACATATCTATGCATTCATCATCACTGTAGTCATTGATTGATAACAATTAATCATTTACATCGTTACGTGACTTGGAACAACACACGGTATAAACTAAATGTAGATGCAGTGTGCTGGCTTTAATTTTAATTTGTTCTTACACGCAAACTGATATTGCTAAGTTGGGTATAATACAGGACATCAAACACAGTGCGTATAAATATGCCAATGTGACGAATGAACAACGTTTTTTATTAGTGTGTAGTGTTCGATTTCACTCGGACAACTTGTCTTTCTCCGAACACCGCTTTATTTACAACTCTCCGCATGTCCTCCACATTCCACAGTATCCTGGTCGCCACGGCTCGCCACCTTTGTCTCTCCACTCCCCCACGATTACTTCGCTTACTCCGCCGCTAACTACTTCGTCTCCGCTCTCCGCTATCACCGTCACTATGCTCACTCCACTGCTGGCTATTCTCGTCTTCAGCTCCGCTATCGCTACGCTCTCTCCAAGCTCTCCACTCTTCAATTCCCCGCTGTTGACTCCAACTTCAATTCCCCTCGCTGTTCACTCCAAGCTCCCCAACTTCAACCACCTCCGTCTCGAAGCTCTCCAAACTCCAACTCCCCGGCTCCAATTGCCGACCCCCCAATTTATCCCCGCTCTCATCACACCCCAATTAATTAGTCCGCGTCCCAACGGCACTCCGCGTGACCGTGCACCTGTGTCTCCTCCAGACCTTTAGGCGCCACTCTAGCCTTGGCAACAGCTCCAACCAATCACAGCCGTCCACGGCTCTCCCAGCTTAATTTGCCCTAACATAACCTGCACTGTATTTGCCTTCACTACAGGCTGACCCAAGATAACGCGTACTGTCTGTGTGATCATGTAATCACGCTGTTTGTACTACGCACCTTCCTGCTCCACTACAAGTGCCTAACTGTTGTGACATGTGGATGAGAAAAATGGATTCTGATGAAGAAGATGGAACAACATCTTAATGTGTGCGAAAAAAGCATGTAGAAGATGCACACTTGAGATTAAACGAGACAGAGGAGCATGTGGATTAAGGAACATGCACAAGTTCAATACATCATATTGACTGTTAAGTCAATGGCATTGATCAGGACTCATCGCTGAAAGTAGCAATGGCCGGTGGTCGAGACTAATGATGGAGCGGCAGCCAAAGGAGAGAGCTTGCCGTAGAGAACGTTCACCACGGAGATGGAGTGATGTGATCACCTCGTGTGTAGCAGCTAAATGTATGTATGTATGCTAAACTTCTTTCGCACCATACATAGCCAACCGTGCTAATCGGAGTTGTGGGGGAAGGACAAAAAACTAAACACAAAAAGCGGTCATAAAGAAATTAATTTTCGATCTAAATTGAAAAGTTGGTTCCTAATATCGGAAGGAAGAGCATTCCAGACGGCCGCAGAAGCACATCTGAAAGCGCCCGATGCAGTGACCACCATCTTTATTAGATGGATCACTGAATCGCAATATCTAGAACAGACATGGCGAAAGTACGGCCCCTGGGCCATATACGGCCCGTTTGGCTTTTTAATCCGGTCCGCCGAACTTGTTCAAATATTATTAAATTAAATTTTACCTTTCTCCCTATAATGCCCCCATTTCCCCATTAGATGGCGCACTTTGACCGGGAGTTACGACATGTTTTTCTATTGTTCATGTTCGTGCAATTTGTTACATTGCCTTGCAAATAAATGCTTTGCTACCTGTTAAAGGCCAAATCCTTTCATGTAATGATTTTTAACATGTCATTTATATTAGTTCACACAAACACTCCATCCATCTGTTCCTGGCCCGGCCCCTCTGTCAAATTTTAGAACCCATTTGTGGCCCGCGAGTCAAAAAATGTGCCCACCCCTGAACTAGAATGATGACAACTTCCGGAGGAGGCCTTCATCCAGCAATGGATATGTATTGGCTCATGATGATGATGCAGTGTATTGTGACACAGTATACATTGTGCTTTTTAAAGATTTATTCGGAAGAGATGTAATTTATTTATGCAGGGTTTATAGCACGTCCACCAAGTAAAACAAGTTGTTACAAAAAATAAAATTCAGATTTTTTTTAAAAAAATACATAAATAACTTTAAGACAGATCAGCAAAAAAGAAATGTGTTACTACAGTAGTGCTTTAATATCAATATAATAAATTAACACTTAATAAGGAACAGTTGATGAATGCCTGTTTATTTAGAAGGAATCCAGGATCCCTTTTGAATTTACCAGCAATACCAGGTCAGGTAATTATGACATTTATTTTAATAGGCAGAGCCTTGAGTGCCATCCACTTATATGCATGGATTATCTACAATACCTCGGTTTCTTGCCACATGGCAAACAAACATGAATGGAATTGGCCAAACATCCCAATACAGGACCAAAATATCCCTATACAGGTCGCTAATGAAAAGGAGTCTTGAGATTCATTGAGGTTTTCATGGGTAAATTAAAGAGAGCGTTTTAAAATAATAACCGAGGTTCAAACAGATTTATACATATTAACTCATCCGATAAATACAGAGTCGAATTAATAACACACTGAGCTGGTGCAGTATTTTTAGTTTATGTGAAGCCGACACTGAATGTGCAATACTTACATTAAAACAAAGAGGAATCCCCAATCTATTAAGCTCTGGCAAGGATCAAATTACACTTTCTGCTCTTAGTGCTAATGGAGCTGAAAACCTTAAATCCCCTTTCAGCACTGACAACTCGCTCCTGCATGGGCACATAGTAACTTCCTCCATAACTCCCATCAGCCGCCCAGTGTGAACCACTGCAGTGACATATTTCTCTCTCACAGGTGGAGATCATCAGGAATGTAATTTCCGATATCGACTCTGCGTCTCCTCCCGCCCTGTCTCTACCTGTGTCTCCCCGCCACCACACATCCGGAGAACTTTCCGTGTGTCACCGCTAACCTCGCTACAATCATTTACATCCTAAAAAATAATCATTCTTCCATCCTCTATCCTCCGCTCACCAAACTCGCCTGCCTACTCCTCCAATGAATGACCATCTCTCTCTTACTACATAGGTCAAATAGTCCTCCTTTGCTGTCACTGTCACCATCCCCTGGTTGTGTTGCAGGGCCTTGAAATGCGTTTGCATTTAGGCGCTTTTATAAATCCACATTGCATTGAACAGTATTTTACATGTATCATACTTATTTAGCATACACTTTCATATACGGTTAAAATGAAAGTGTAAATAAAAGCCTTCATGGAATTACATTGGCGACCTGGATATAAAAACCCTCGTGAAACATCAAAGTAGGAAATTGCTACCACGTATTTGGATCTATGTGAAGCGCTCCTTACAAATGTAAATTCTCACTCTTATTATGATATAAGCGATGAAGTATAAACTTCCTTAACACAACATCTTATGGTATAAATGATTACAGCCAAAGTCCTGGACCTACTGGATGTCAGTTGGTGTGATACTGATTATTATTATTCAATGTGTTGAATTAGTGCCTTGGAAGCTCACACTGAAGGCAACACAAGTGGTACAGACCGACATCGCAGATCGCCACGCGTTGAATTTATAACATTAATGACTTCACAAGAAAGTTTTTTTTTAATATATATAAAGAAGTCAACTCGTGGTTAAATTGGGAAATTGACCTATAGAAGATCGTCATGGCACAAGCATGCATTGGATAATGCTTAACAACTACCATGCAATTATGGGTTCTTGATCTCTGACAGCAGTAATTGTTCAGTGTCTTCACCGGCACTCCTTAGGCGATGTGGTAAATTACATTCCTTTTTCTAAGTCACGCATCCATCAAAGACACACACAATATATTTGTTAATTAACTGTTAATGCAAGGTTTTAATCAATGTAGCATTGTTAAAATGGTATGCAAAAAAAACAATAAAAAAACATGCCATGATTTAAGTCACGTTAAGATCGTATTCAAAAAGTGACAGTGTTCAAAATATCACGCTTGTATGAAATGAGCTGCAGAGTACTCACCTGCATAAGTAGTGCACCGCCAGCAGCAGCAGCATCAGCAGCAGGCTCCCGCACACCACTGATGCGGCAATAGTTGCATTTCCTGAAAGTGGAATACAAAAGAGCCATGTGCTTATTATTATTAGACTTGTTTAGCCAGGATGATTTCCCTGAGTCTTATAGCTCTTTTTCAGGAGGGCCCTACCAAGCTCTTTGCAGTAGGGGGGGGGGGGAGATGTTGTTATTTGAAATCCAAATCTGGTAATTTCCACATAACTGCAGCATTTACATATTTGAGCAATATCAGGAATATCTTTTTTTGTTAGCTGTGAGAGGTATCACACAGAAAGGCGGCCAAGTCGGGGAATCGAAACCAGAACCTTCTTGCTGTGAAGTATTGTTACCACGGCACCACCATGCCCTATTGAACTACATATTGGAAGCACTTAGCTGTGCTGCAGATTGTTCTGTAAAATACAACAGCATTATATTCTTTGGGTCTTTCGGTAAAGCCACGTAGATAGAAAAATAATCAAAAATATCACGACGTTTCGAGTGAAACAATCAACCAATCGTCTTGGAGAACGTCACCTGTTCATGATTATTAATGAGGGGGACTGGTCAACGTGGATTGACGTCACGCGCGGGACACACAGACATTCTTGGCTCATTATAGTAGTAAATATTAAAGCATCACTATGTTTAAAGGGTTAAAATGAGGGGTGCCTGTGTCTATAAATTGATATCATTGTTACGTAATAGAGCAACCCTGTGGTATGAATTCCCAATGTGAAGTGTACGCATTACACCTATTTTAATGAAGACGGTTATTTGCGTGTGCGTGCATCTGTGTTTCATAAAGGGCTTGAATGTCACCTCAAATTAACTGGCTCCAAGGTGGGACTGTGCTACTAAGCGACTGACCTAGAGGTGGGCTGCCACCTACACGTGACCTAACTTGTGTATGACCGAACTACCCTGAATGCACCTGGTCACATCAGATCGCACAAGCTTAGAAGGCTGGTTAGTACATGGAGAGAATGTCACCTCAGTTAATCAGATGCGGTAGACTTGGGCTTTGAGGTATCCAGGAGATGGCAACAAAGCAATGGATGAAATAAATATGTGCAGAGCTCTGAGAGTTACCCAAACTCTCAGTACGTGTAATATAATTGGCTCACCATCCCAATGTAAGACCCAAATGATTAGGAAACTTGAGACTCACTGATATTTTCCTGGATAAATTAACAACATTACTATTGTGATCATTTGCTGGTTGACTCTGATAGCGATTCAATTGCTCCAAGCAAATAAATATATGGCCAAACTGAACCGTCTTCAGGGGGAAATACATGTTTTTGTTAGCCAGTCTCACCCCATTGCTTAATTCACCGATGGCTTCCCCGCCACGTGATTCACAGCTGATCTTGGAACGTGTCAGAGTGATTGTGCAGCTTGTCACGGTTGCGCTGCACAGCTGCTCCGATGGTGAATTCGGATGGCAGCGTGTGTTGTTCGTCACGATATCCGACAGGCTGGGAGGTTCTCGAGTGACTAAATGCATGCTAATTGGAGCCACGGAGTCTGACATCGTGCCGAAGAACGCGGTGGTACAGCCCGAGAACACACGGCAGGGTCGCGGAGTGAATGATACTTACGGCGAGTGTTGGGGCTGAAGTCCGACTGTTGACCCAACACGGTGACGCTGGAGTTTGGGGAGATGGACACGTCCACATTGGGCTTCACCGTGCTCGACGCCGGGGGGTACGACGACGAGACTGAACTTGATATGGAAATGGGGATTGTGGAAGATGAAAAGGTGGATTCAATTGCTGAACTTGCGTGTGGCTGTGTGCTCATGATCAGGCTGGATAGAGTAGCTGTGTTGGTAGAAACAGTTTCTGTTGAGATTGAACTTGATATTGAACTGGGGATTATGGAAGATGAGAAGGTGGATTCAACTGCTGAACTTGTGGGTGTCTGTGTGCTCATGATCACGATAGATGGAGTAGCTGTGTTGGTGGAAATTGTTCCCATTGAGACTGAACTTGATATGGAAATGGGGACTGTGGAAGATGAGAAGCTGGATTCATCTGCTGAACTTGTGGGTGGCTGAGTGCTCATGATCAGGCTGGATGGAGTCGCTATGCTGGTGGAAATTTCTGCTGTTCCTGTTGAGCCTGAACTTGATATTGAAATGGGGACTGTGGAAGATGAGAAGGTGGATTCAACTACTGAACTTGCGGGTGGCTGTGTGCTCATGATCAGGCTGGATGGAGTAGCTGTGATGGTGGAAATAGTTTCTGTTGAGACTGAACTTGATATGGAAATGGGGATTGTGGAAGATGAGGTGGATTCAACTGCTGAACTTGCGGGTGGCTGGGTGCTCATGATCAGGCTGGATGGAGTCGCTATGCTGGTGGAAATTTCCGCTGTTCCTGTTGAGCCTGAACTTGATATTGAAATGGGGAATGTGGAAGATGAGAAGGTGGATTCAACTGCTGAACTTGCGGGTGGCTGTGTGCTCATGATCAGGCTGGATGGAGTAGCTGTAATGGTGGAAATTGTTTCTGTTGAGACTGAACTTGATAATGATATGGGGATTGTGGAAGATGAGAAGGTGGATTCAACTGCTGAACTTGCGGGTGGCTGTGTGCTCATGATCAGGCTGGATGGAGTCGCTATGCTGGTGGAAATTTCCGCTGTTCCTGTTGAGCCTGAACTTGATATTGAAACGGGGATTGTGGAAGATGGGAAGGTGGATTCAACTGCTGAACTTGCTGGTGGCTGTGTGCTCATGATCAGGCTGGATGGAGTCACTGTGGCAGTGGAAACAGTTTCTGTTGAGACTGAACTTGATATGGAAATGGGGATTGTGGAAGATGAGAAGGTGGATTCAACTGCTGAACTTGCTGGTGGCTGTGTGCTCATGATCAGGCTGGATGGAGTAGCTGTGTTGGTAGAAACAGTTTCTGTTGAGGTGGAACTTGATATTGAACTAGGGATTGTGGAAGACAAGAAGAGCAATTCAAATGCTGAAATTGCTTGTGGCTGTGTGCTCATGATCAGGCTGGATGGAGTCGCTGTGGTAGTGGAAATAGTTTCTGTTGAGACTGAACTTGATATTGAAATGGGGATTGTGGAAGATGAGAAGGTGGATTCAACTGCTGAACTTGCTGGTGGTTGTGTGCTCATGATCAGGCTGGATGGAGTCGCTGTGATGGTGGAAATAGTTTCTGTTGAGACTGAATTTGATATTGAAATGGGGATTGTGGAAGATGAGGTGGATTCAATTGCTGAACTTGCGGGTGGCTGTGTGCTCATGATCAGGCTGGATGGAGTAGCTGTGATGGTGGAAATTGTTTCTGTTGAGACTGAACTTGATATTGATATGGGGATTGTGGAAGATGAGAAGGTGGATTCAACTGCTGAACTTGCGGGTGGCTGTGTACTCATGATCAGGCTAGATGGAGTCGCTGTGGTAGTGGAAATAGTTTCTGTTGAGACTGAACTTGATATTGAAACGGGGATTGTGGAAGAAGGGAAGGTGGATTCAACTGCTGAACTTGTGGGTGGCTGTGTGCTCACGATCAGGCTGGATGGAGTAGCTGTGTTGGTAGAAACAGTTTCTGTTGAGGTGGAACTTGATATTGAACTAGGGATTGTGGAAGACAAGAAGAGCAATTCAAATGCTGAAATTGCTTGTGGCTGTGTGCTCATGATCAGGCTGGATGGAGTCGCTGTGGTAGTGGAAATAGTTTCTGTTGAGACTGAATTTGATATTGAAATGGGGATTGTGGAAGATGAGGTGGATTCAATTGCTGAACTTGCGGGTGGCTGTGTGCTCATGATCAGGCTGGATGGAGTAGCTGTGATGGTGGAAATTGTTTCTGTTGAGACTGAACTTGATATTGATATGGGGATTGTGGAAGATGAGAAGGTGGATTCAACTGCTGAACTTGCGGGTGGCTGTGTACTCATGATCAGGCTAGATGGAGTCGCTGTGGTAGTGGAAATAGTTTCTGTTGAGACTGAACTTGATATTGAAACGGGGATTGTGGAAGAAGGGAAGGTGGATTCAACTGCTGAACTTGTGGGTGGCTGTGTGCTCACGATCAGGCTGGATGGAGTAGCTGTGTTGGTAGAAACAGTTTCTGTTGAGGTGGAACTTGATATTGAACTAGGGATTGTGGAAGACAAGAAGAGCAATTCAAATGCTGAAATTGCTTGTGGCTGTGTGCTCATGATCAGGCTGGATGGAGTCGCTGTGGTAGTGGAAATAGTTTCTGTTGAGACTGAACTTGATATTGAAATGGGGATTGTGGAAGATGAGGTGGATTCAACTGCTGAACTTGCTGGTGGTTGTGTGCTCATGATCAGGCTGGATGGAGTCGCTGTGATGGTGGAAATAGTTTCTGTTGAGACTGAATTTGATATTGAAATGGGGATTGTGGAAGATGAGGTGGATTCAATTGCTGAACTTGCGGGTGGCTGTGTGCTCATGATCAGGCTGGATGGAGTAGCTGTGATGGTGGAAATTGTTTCTGTTGAGACTGAACTTGATATTGATATGGGGATTGTGGAAGATGAGAAGGTGGATTCAACTGCTGAACTTGCGGGTGGCTGTGTACTCATGATCAGGCTAGATGGAGTCGCTGTGGTAGTGGAAATAGTTTCTGTTGAGACTGAACTTGATATTGAAACGGGGATTGTGGAAGAAGGGAAGGTGGATTCAACTGCTGAACTTGTGGGTGGCTGTGTGCTCACGATCACGATAGATGGAGTAGCTGTGTTGGTGGAAATTGTTTCTGTTGAGACTGAACTTGATATGGAAATGGGGATTGTGGAAGATGAGAAGGTGGATTCAACTGCTGAACTTGTGGGTGTATGTGTGCTCATGATCACGATAGATGGAGTAGCTGTGTTGGTGGAAATTGTTTCTGTTGAGACTGAACTTGATATGGAAATGGGGATTGTGGAAGATGAGAAGGTGGATTCAACTGCTGAACTTGCGGGTGGCTGTGTACTCATGATCAGGCTAGATGGAGTCGCTGTGGTAGTGGAAATAGTTTCTGTTGAGACTGAACTTGATATTGAAACGGGGATTGTGGAAGAAGGGAAGGTGGATTCAACTGCTGAACTTGTGGGTGGCTGTGTGCTCACGATCACGATAGATGGAGTAGCTGTGTTGGTGGAAATTGTTCCTATTGAGACTGAACTTGATGTGGAAATGGGGACTGTGGAAGATGAGGTGGATTCAACTGCTGAACTTGTGGGTGTATGTGTGCTCATGATCACGATAGATGGAGTAGCTGTGTTGGTGGAAATTGTTTCTGTTGAGACTGAACTTGATATGGAAATGGGGATTGTGGAAGATGAGAAGGTGGATTCAACTGCTGAACTTGCTGGTGGCTGTGTGCTCATGATCAGGCTGGATGGAGTAGCTGTGTTGGTAGAAACAGTTTCTGTTGAGGTGGAACTTGATATTGAACTAGGAATTGTGGAAGACAAGAAGAGCAATTCAAATGCTGAAATTGCTGGTGGCTGTGTGCTCATGATCAGGCTGGATGGAGTCGCTGTGGTAGTGGAAATAGTTTCTGTTGAGACTGAACTTGATATTGAAATGGGGATTGTGGAAGATGAGAAGGTGGATTCAACTGCTGAACTTGCGGGTGGTTGTGTGCTCATGATCAGGCTGGATAGAGTCGCTATGCTAGTGGAAATTTCTGCTGTTCCTGTTGAGCCTGAACTTGATATTGAAATGGGGATTGTGGAAGATGAGAAGAGAAAATCAACTGCTGAACTTGCGGGTGGCTGTGTGCTCATGAGCAGGCTGGATGGAGTAGCTGTGATGGTGGAAATAGTTTCTGTTGAGACTGAATTTGATATTGAAATGGGGATTGTGGAAGATGAGAAGGTGGATTCAATTGCTGAACTTGCGGGTGGCTGTGTGCTCATGATCAGGCTGGATGGAGTAGCTGTGATGGTGGAAATTGTTTCTGTTGAGACTGAACTTGATATTGATATGGGGATTGTGGAAGATGAGAAGGTGGATTCAACTGCTGAACTTGCGGGTGGCTGTGTACTCATGATCAGGCTAGATGGAGTCGCTGTGGTAGTGGAAATAGTTTCTGTTGAGACTGAACTTGATATTGAAACGGGGATTGTGGAAGATGGGAAGGTGGATTCAACTGCTGAACTTGTGGGTGGCTGTGTGCTCATGATCACGATAGATGGAGTAGCTGTAATGGTGGAAATTGTTTCTGTTGAGACTGAACTTGATAATGATATGGGGATTGTGGATGATGAGGTGGATTCAACTGCTGAACTTGTGGGTGGCTGTGTGCTCGTGATCAGGCTGGATGGAGTCGCTGTGGCAGTGGAAATAGTTTCTGTTGAGACTGAACTTGATATTGAAATGGGGATTGTGGAAGATGAGAAGGTGGATTCAACTGCTGAACTTGCGGGTGGTTGTGTGCTCATGATCAGGCTGGATAGAGTCGCTATGCTGGTGGAAATTTCTGCTGTTCCTGTTGAGCCTGAACTTGAAATTGAAATGGGGATTGTGGAAGATGAGAAGAGAAAATCAACTGCTGAACTTGCGGGTGGCTGTGTGCTCATGATCAGGCTGGATGGAGTAGCTGTGATGGTGGAAATAGTTTCTGTTGAGACTGAATTTGATATTGAAATGGGGATTGTGGAAGATGAGGTGGATTCAATTGCTGAACTTGCGGGTGGCTGTGTGCTCATGATCAGGCTGGATGGAGTAGCTGTGATGGTGGAAATTGTTTCTGTTGAGACTGAACTTGATAATGATATGGGGATTGTGGAAGGTGAGGTGGATTCAACTGCTGAACTTGTGGGTGGCTGTGTGCTCATGATCAGGCTGGATGGAGTCGCTGTGGTAGTAGAAATTGTTTCTGTTGAGACTGAACTTGATATTGATATGGGGATTGTGGAAGATGAGAAGGTGGATTCAACTGCTGAACTTGCGGGTGGCTGTGTACTCATGATCAGGCTAGATGGAGTCGCTGTGGTAGTGGAAATAGTTTCTGTTGAGACTGAACTTGATATTGAAACGGGGATTGTGGAAGATGGGAAGGTGGATTCAACTGCTGAACTTGTGGGTGGCTGTGTGCTCATGATCACGATAGATGGAGTAGCTGTAATGGTGGAAATTGTTTCTGTTGAGACTGAACTTGATAATGATATGGGGATTGTGGAAGATGAGGTGGATTCAACTGCTGAACTTGTGGGTGGCTGTGTGCTCATGATCAGGCTGGATGGAGTCGCTGTGGTAGTAGAAATTGTTTCTGTTGAGACTGAACTTGATAATGATATGGGGATTGTGGATGATGAGGTGGATTCAACTGCTGAACTTGTGGGTGGCTGTGTGCTCGTGATCAGGCTGGATGGAGTCGCTGTGGCAGTGGAAATAGTTTCTGTTGAGACTGAACTTGATATTGAAATGGGGATTGTGGAAGATGAGAAGGTGGATTCAACTGCTGAACTTGCGGGTGGTTGTGTGCTCATGATCAGGCTGGATAGAGTCGCTATGCTAGTGGAAATTTCTGCTGTTCCTGTTGAGCCTGAACTTGATATTGAAATGGGGATTGTGGAAGATGAGAAGAGAAAATCAACTGCTGAACTTGCGGGTGGCTGTGTGCTCATGATCAGGCTGGATGGAGTAGCTGTGATGGTGGAAATAGTTTCTGTTGAGACTGAATTTGATATTGAAATGGGGATTGTGGAAGATGAGAAGGTGGATTCAATTGCTGAACTTGCGGGTGGCTGTGTGCTCATGATCAGGCTGGATGGAGTAGCTGTGATGGTGGAAATTGTTTCTGTTGAGACTGAACTTGATATTGATATGGGGATTGTGGAAGATGAGAAGGTGGATTCAACTGCTGAACTTGCGGGTGGCTGTGTACTCATGATCAGGCTAGATGGAGTCGCTGTGGTAGTGGAAATAGTTTCTGTTGAGACTGAACTTGATATTGAAACGGGGATTGTGGAAGATGGGAAGGTGGATTCAACTGCTGAACTTGTGGGTGGCTGTGTGCTCATGATCACGATAGATGGAGTAGCTGTAATGGTGGAAATTGTTTCTGTTGAGACTGAACTTGATAATGATATGGGGATTGTGGAAGATGAGGTGGATTCAACTGCTGAACTTGTGGGTGGCTGTGTGCTCATGATCAGGCTGGATGGAGTCGCTGTGGTAGTAGAAATTGTTTCTGTTGAGACTGAACTTGATATTGAAATGGGGATTGTGGAAGATGAGAAGGTGGATTCAACTGCTGAACTTGCGGGTGGTTGTGTGCTCATGATCAGGCTGGATAGAGTCGCTATGCTAGTGGAAATTTCTGCTGTTCCTGTTGAGCCTGAACTTGATATTGAAATGGGGATTGTGGAAGATGAGAAGAGAAAATCAACTGCTGAACTTGCGGGTGGCTGTGTGCTCATGATCAGGCTGGATGGAGTAGCTGTGATGGTGGAAATAGTTTCTGTTGAGACTGAATTTGATATTGAAATGGGGATTGTGGAAGATGAGAAGGTGGATTCAATTGCTGAACTTGCAGGTGGCTGTGTGCTCATGATCAGGCTGGATGGAGTAGCTGTGATGGTGGAAATTGTTTCTGTTGAGACTGAACTTGATATTGATATGGGGATTGTGGAAGATGGGAAGGTGGATTCAACTGCTGAACTTGCGGGTGGCTGTGTACTCATGATCAGGCTAGATGGAGTCGCTGTGGTAGTGGAAATAGTTTCTGTTGAGACTGAACTTGATATTGAAACGGGGATTGTGGAAGATGGGAAGGTGGATTCAACTGCTGAACTTGTGGGTGGCTGTGTGCTCATGATCACGATAGATGGAGTAGCTGTAATGGTGGAAATTGTTTCTGTTGAGACTGAACTTGATAATGATATGGGGATTGTGGAAGATGAGGTGGATTCAACTGCTGAACTTGTGGGTGGCTGTGTGCTCATGATCAGGCTGGATGGAGTCGCTGTGGTAGTAGAAATTGTTTCTGTTGAGACTGAACTTGATAATGATATGGGGATTGTGGATGATGAGGTGGATTCAACTGCTGAACTTGTGGGTGGCTGTGTGCTCGTGATCAGGCTGGATGGAGTCGCTGTGGCAGTGGAAATAGTTTCTGTTGAGACTGAACTTGATATTGAAATGGGGATTGTGGAAGATGGGAAGGTGGATTCAACTGCTGAACTTGTGGGTGGCTGTGTGCTCATGATCACGATAGATGGAGTAGCTGTGTTGGTGGAAATTGTTCCTATTGAGACTGAACTTGATGTGGAAATGGGGACTGTGGAAGATGAGAAGGTGGATTCAACTGCTGAACTTTTGGGTGTATGTGTGCTCATGATCACGTTAGATGGAGTAGCTGTGTTGGTGAAAATTGTTTCTGTTGAGACTGAACTTGATATTGAAATGGGGATTGTGGAAGATGAGAAGGTGGATTCAACTGCTGAACTTGCTGTTGGCTGTGTGCTCATGATCAGGCTGGATGGAGTCGCTGTGGCAGTGGAAATAGTTTCTGTTGAGACTGAACTTGATATTGAAATGGGGATTGTGGACGATGGGAAGGTGGATTCAACTGCTGAACTTGTGGGTGGCTGTGTGCTCATGATCACGATAGATGGAGTAGCTGTGTTGGTGGAAATTGTTCCTATTGAGACTGAACTGGATGTGGAAATGGGGACTGTGGAAGATGAGAAGGTGGATTCAACTGCTGAACTTGTGGGTGTATGTGTGCTCATGATCACGTTAGATGGAGTAGCTGTGTTGGTGGAAATTGTTTCTCTTGAGACTGAACTTGATATTGAAATGGGGATTGTAGAAGATGAGAAGGTGGATTCAACTGCTGAACTTGCTGGTGGCTGTGTGCTCATGATCAGGCTGGATGGAGTCGCTATGCTGGTGGAAATTTCTGCTGTTCCTGTTGAGCCTGAACTTGAAATTGAAATGGGGATTGTGGAAGATGAGAAGGTGGATTCAACTGCTGAACTTGCTGGTGGCTGTGTGCTCATGATCAGGCTGGATGGAGTAGCTGTAATGGTGGAAATTGTTTCTGTTGAGACTGAACTTGATAATGATATGGGGATTGTGGAAGATGAGAAGGTCGATTCAACTGCTGAACTTGTGGGTGGCTGTGTGCTCATGATCAGGCTGGATGGAGTCGCTGTGGTAGTGGAAATTGTTTCTGTTGAGACTGAGCTTGATAATGATATGGGGATTGTGGATGATGAGAAGGTGGATTCAACTGCTGAACTTGTGGGTGGCTGTGTGCTCATGATCAGGCTGGATGGAGTAGCTGTGATGGTGGAAATAGTTTCTGTTGAGACTGAACTTGATATTGAAATGGGGATTGTGGAAGATGAGAAGGATTCAACTACTGAATTTGCGGGTGGCTGTGTGCTCATGATCCGGCTGGATGGAGTCGCTATGCTGGTGGAAATTTCTGTTGTTCCTGTTGAGACTGAACTTGATATTGAAATGGGGATTGTGGAAGATGAGAAGGTGGATTCAACTGCTGAACTTGCTGGTGGCTGTGTGCTCATGATCAGGCTGGATGGAGTAGCTGTGATGGTGGAAATAGTTTCTGTTGAGACGGAACTTGATATTGAAATGGGGATTGTGGAAGATGAGAAGGTGGATTCCACTGCTGAACTTGCTGGTGGCTGTGTGCTCATGATCAGGTTGGATGGAGTCGCTGTGGCAGTGGAAATTGTTTCTGTTGAGAATGAACTTGATATTGAAATTGGGATTGTAGAAGTTGAGAAGGTGGATTCAACTGCAGTGCTGGTTGATGGCTGACTGATTGTCACCAGTTCCGATAATGATGTTGTGTTCATTGAAAGTCTCTTTTCTTCAAGACTTGTCTGCATTGAAATGGAGATCGTTTGAGTCCCTTGAATTGGGGCTGATGAGCTTGAAATTAAACTTTCCGTTGTCACTCCAATGGTGGAGAGCTGCATGGTCTGAGGTGCTGAGATGCTCAGGGAGGGCAGCATCCAACTGGATGAGAGCAATGAGGATTCCGGAATAATCGTTGAAGGTTGAGTTGCGCTGCTGCTGCTGCTTTGAGGAGCTGGACAAACACAACACAATGGATAAAAAAGACATCGCAGAATTTGTAAGAACAAAAGAATAAATGAACATCACCTCATAGTCTGCTTCATCATTCATGAACAATCTACATAATCAGATGAAGCCTCCCGTAAACGACGTGATTTCTCTGTGGCCACCCCCGCTATGAAAACGGACCCAAATTCAGTCTTTTCCTTCCTCTCCTCATCTCCCCTGACCCCTAGGTTCTCATTCTCAGTCCCATTTCCACCCTTTTCCCATTGCTTTTACTACTTCTCATTTCCTTCCCTTCTCTCGTCCCATTCTCATTCTCTTTTCTCTCCCTTTTCACCCCCCACACCCCCGACTCCGTTCCCCTTCCCACGGTGAGCCACGGGTAAATAATTGCCAGGTTGTGATGACACTCCGGCGCACCTATGGAGGCCAGCACGTCAACTGAGTGGTGGTTCGGCATGCAAATCTCGCATTCGTCTCCGCAGTGCTGATGTTTACGTCCGATTTACACACCGCATTGGGTCCTAATTTAAGGCCGAGTTGACCTAGGTAAGTCAGGTTCAGACTTTACACGCCGCTATCTTTTTTTATTGTGGTCATCAGCCAAAACTCAGGCGATTTGATCGGGCTCACAAAAAAAACAGCACGCAAACCACTACACCCACCGCTCCCCGCACACAAAGATCCCCCGTATAGCCTTAACAGACTGTTGGGGCAAGTGCTGTTAGTGAGCACCTATGAAGGCGGGAACGGCACACGAGAAAGTGGGTGGCCAGCACCACGCCCGACCGCCTTTGTCTCCCCAGTGGCAATGTTTGCACCGCACCAGGGACTCATTTGAGGCTGAGTCGACCTAGGGGATGCCTAGGACCGGTTCAGATAATCGTCACCAGTGTCGGCCGTGAGCGGGAACCGAACTGGGGTCCGCCGGGTTCATAGGGCATCGTGTGTCGGCTGTGAGCGGGAACCGAACTGGGGTCCGCCGGGTTCATAGGGCAGCGTAGCGCTAACCGCTCCACTACCGCTCCCCACACACAGTCACATGCGCCACGCAAACATATACATACAGCATGCACACAAATTGGGCGTACGGTTGTGTTTTTATAGTCACTGGTGTTAAATACAGCAGAGTATTCCCTTGTTATTCAAGAGCTTGACACCTGCGACTGTGTCTATCTGTGCCTCGCATCTGGAACTCTGCACGACTACTGCATCGAGAGTGGGAGAGAAAGTGACGAGATAAAGTGATGAGATTGAACGTGATACGGGAAAACGGTGACATAAAGTGATGAGATAGCTTATATACGTACAGTGTTTATTGAAGGTAATTCACGACAAAAATTGGTTTCGATAGGCCAATGTCATTATGCGAATCACGAGGGAACGCCGCGTTGTAGTTACAGACATCTGTTGAAATATGGGCAACGTATGAGTTTTCCCACGGGAGGCTTTGCACCAGTAAGGCAGGATTCAGCGCCACTGCTGTGTATTGCTCTACAGTACGTACTGTGTACTGCAGAGCTCAAATCCACCCACGGCCTTATTACCCGCGTAACCACTTATTATCCGGAGCAGCTGTAAGGGTCAGCACGTAATGTCCACCATGGCCTAGGGCGGCCATTGGATTCGCACCGCGCAACTCCCCGCTACCGCTGGGCCAACACCAATTAAGATAATGATGATGATTTTGAATGAGGATGATTGTATTTACATTGCCCGTGTAGTTATAAGCACAGCTATTTTTCTGCACAGAGGTCGCGTGACGGCAAAAAAAAAATCAGACTCATGCGTGGCGGCATACCGCTAAAACGCTAATTTGTAGATTTAATTTATTTTAAGATAATTCGTGTTTGAAAGATTGTTCGTCTATGTTCGATGGCTAGCCAAAAAAAACGCTGCGATGATGACCGCAGTTCGCGTGATGGTTTGTGCTCTTTGACGATATCAGCAAGATATTATGGTTCATCTGTGGCAAGCACTTTGTGTGTATTATATATCCCAGTAAACATGCCAGCGTTGGTATGTGGTTGGAGCTAATGACCCAACGTTCCATGTTTACTGGGATGATGTTGTAAGCTTTTAGTGTCAAACAAATCCCAATTCACATTTGGCCAGCTCACAAGCGCGTCTTCGACACACAAGACCCAATGCCAGCCACACACTCTGCTCCCTCGCTGTCATACCTGGAATGTTGTTGCCTGCCACGTTAAAGTTGAGATTGTAAGTCCCAACAGATTCCACTGGGACAATTTCAAAACTGTCGGCTGTAAAAGGTTCCGTCAGGTACACCATATGATAGCGTTTGTTGTATGAATCCCATTCATTGTTTCCAACATAATTCTGTGGAGAGAGCAAATAATAGACATTTTACATGTAGAGTACACATCAGTTTTTTTTATATACTACTATAATGGAAACTATACGGGGAAAAGTATGAGAATATATGTTGGAGGAATGATTTCCATAGACTATGTACCATGTTCCCCAGATTATACAATGCTCCTGAAAGACGCACCTCAAATTTGTGCTCAGTGGAAATAAAGTTATAAATATCTGGTCACACAAATCTTACCATAATATAAACATATTGCGAAAAAAAGTGTGTCTTCTAACCCGTAAACAATTATACATCATATAAATATATAAGAGCTTCGTTATTTGATTCATGAGTTACAAATATATTTTTGGGACGGGCTGTTAAACATTTCCTTTAAAACAACAAAAATCACGACGTTTCGGCCACAACACAACCTGTCCAGCGGACAGCGTTGGTCCCTTCACCTGATGAAGGCCGCTTGTATTGTGGCCGAAACGTCGTGATTTTTGTTGTTTTAATTTTTTACCTACGTGACTTTACCGAATAGAACCAAAGAGTATGGATCCTTGCAGTCACGAAAGCTTCAAATCTAGAATTTCCTTTAAAAACATATACGGAGCAATGCAAACTCGGTGGCACGCATGCTAAACGACTTGGCTATGTTATTATACACATGTGAAAATAAATGTAAATCCACTTGTTGGATAAGGGCCTCACGATGCCGTGCGGCTCATGGGGATTATTTGACCATAGTTCACGGCACTTGAAGGCACGGTGGGATAGATACGGAAGCATACCTCTCAGCAGTACTGTACAACAATGGATTTTGCTGCACCTGCCCACTGCTGCCCACCACACAGCAGCCAATCAAATCCCGGAGGCCACCAACCCAAGCAATGTCCAGGCTCAAACTACCGCTTAGCTTCTGAGATCGACTAATATGGGGTGCAATTCTTACCGGGTCATTTTGGTCAAAAGCATTTTGTCGTATAAAGAAAGGCATTAGAATTTTTTGTTTGTTAAAATAACGTCACATTTCAATGTGTTTTCACGCTCAAGTAGAGCATCTCAGCCATGCCAGGTCAGGTAGCAGGCAACTTTTGGAGCCCTTCCGAGCCCCCTCAACCATCTCTGCTTGGAGGGAAATGTCATAAATTTCCCCCCCCCACCCCCCCCCACCAGGATTGTCCTCTTTTTAGAGTAGCTCCAAGAACATCAAGACGTCTCAGTATTTACCAGTTGCATGATAGTACACCACTCGAGGGGATGCATTTCCACGTACTTCACCCCACTTTCGGTGTTCTGATATATTATTCTGCCCATGATATGTCCTGTTTAAGCTGTACCTATTGGTGGCAACCATTGGTCACAAGAGAACATCGCATACCTGTGTTCTTCTGCAAACTCCATTGTAGCAGTATTGTATATAGAAGATCTTGAGAGCTCCAGCTGTGCCTGAGAGTGCTTCCGACATCAGGTTGATGGCGTTTATGGTGGCCGGACCGGTGAAGTTTATAACCGCAGTTGTAGTTTTCCAGTTATTTTCATTGAACGTAGTGTGGGAGTTGGAGTCCCACTCAGAGGCACCGATGGGTAACACTGTGATGGGAATCACAAAATGGAAACTAGTTTTCGACCCACATCCTTTTGCATTAGGGTTTTAAGTTGTGGCATTCAGCATGTGAAAATTATGACGAGAAAGGGATTTTAATGTAGCAACACGTTGACGGGTGAAGCCGAAACAGGATAAATGTGTTACATGTTAGTCAGCAGTAAAACATGATACATCCAGCATTGGATTTACATGTACCTGATATACATATTTTTAAACGGTATTTAACAAACGGCCAGTCAATTCAAGTGCTCACATGTACGATTTAAAAACACAAATTGAATTGCGGACACATTTGGCTTAGAAAAACAGAAGCAATCGGACACATAGGCTGTCGCTGTAATATTAACGCGAGCTAACAGTGGAACAACGCGGGCGTCCAGAATAAACACTTCATTAGAGACCCAAATATCGCACCTTCCGGCTTTGACATTCCTCGAAGACACTGGTGTAACCATCAACCCCATCAGAACGCTAACAGGCCGATGCGCATATCTCGTTCATGAACGTAACATTAAAGACGAGCCACAGGCGTGCGATTGTGGCCATGTAACCCAAACTATGGACCTTGTTAACCACTATAGCCTGTGCTCCTTCCGTGGCGGAGGGGAAACAGCAAAACCACACAAACTCTCTCCTGAAGCCCTCTCGTCGTGGCCAGCAGATCTCGACATTGGCATCTAGCTCCTGAAGTTATCGCCATGGACAATAAAATTACGATTATCATGATTCACATTTGATGTTTGAGTCACAGTTGCGTGAGTAAAATGTGTGCCGTAAACCCAGTGGCGTCACTCGGGTTGGTATCACCCAGTGCGGTAACTCATGGACCTCCGCCCGTACTAGACCATACAGAATCCTTAGTAATGTTTTTTGCACTAATATTACTCGTAAATCGTAATTCCCGTATGTCACTGAATGTAATGGCAATAGTAAGTGATATAAACAGCTAGCAACATTAAAATCAAACCTTTAAATGACAAATTTTCCTTGAATTACTACTTAATTCTCAAAAAAGTGATAGCTATAGGTTCACAAATACTAATCATCACAATATTGTAACTAAAACACCAGAAAATTTGACAAAATCAGCGACTATAAAAACACGAGCAGCGACGAACACAACAGCGCGTGCTTGTAGCGCGTGCAGACGAAACCACGTGACTCGAAGCGTCATTGTAATTGGGAGCGTATTAGAAGGTTCGAAAAGTAAATTAGCATAGAGTTTTAGCCTTTTTAACACGTAAGCCGGGCTTACAAAAAATGTTTTTGTTGTTATAACTAACTACAGGGATTTTTTTTTATGAAAAACTAGCTTGACTACCCGGTACTTGGATACACCACGCCCGGCCGCCTTTGTCTCCCCAGTGGCGATGTTTATTGAGCTCCCCCCCCCCCCCAAAAAGTCATTTTTTTTAAAATAATTTTCGCATGGTGTACAGTCTGGAAAGTACCCACATGGCAAATTTCAAGTTTGTTGCATGTCGGGAAGTACGCTAAACATTTTGAACAGACACACACATAATCACAACTTTGCCTTTTATAATGAAAAATAATACATTTCTGCTGAAACACTGCACAAAAATTGTATCGACAGTCATTTTGGTGTCACCCCGTGCGGTTCGCACCCCCTTGTGTCGCCACTGCGTACACCAATGCCAATGTATTACTGCACGTTTATTCATGTGAAGACTTTATTGATTGACCGTGCCAGGTGGAAGAGGGTGTACGACATTCATCTGCAATCATGACTCTGAAGTTAAAACGAAACTATTTTTTTTCACGAAGTAAGGCCCACTGAGCTATATAGATATTTTTTTCAGAAGCGACATGGCCACAAATGAAAGTCCAGTGAAGTGGCTTATCACGTCCAAATTTAGTGCAGCCATATAAAAGCCAGACGTTCCGTTTGTCCGTTTGTCCGTAAATTAAATTAGAAGAGTCTTTCAGAAGGCCTGAATGAAAAAGTTATAGAAATCGAACCCCATCTGCCAGATGGTGGGGTTAAAAAGTTGATTCTCCCCAAAAAAGAAATTTCACTCCCGGACGAGTCGGGTGAAAATGCAACCCCCAAACATACAGCCATCACGGTCGGGATCGACCCCATGACCCCGGTGTACCAGGCGAGATCATTTACATCTCGCCACCGCCACGCCACAATTAGGTGATAGACGAAACAAAAATGTAGTCCTTACCGTCGGTCACTGGCTCGATGAGCACTTTCAAGGAGTCGTTGATTCCCAGGTAGGAGTAGGAGAAGTACACAAATTCTTTGCACACGGCTGTGATGACGTCCTGGCTGCTTGTCACATTCGTGCAAATGTTCATTTCATATGTGCTGTCCGTGCAGTAAAAACTAACTTTCTTGGCAGCGTTACATTGTGTCCTCAGCTCCAGAAATGTGACTTTATACCAAGCATTTGTTGCACTACATTGCGCATAGCAGGAAGTAGTGGTCGACGAACAGACCAGGGGCGAACCTAGGCACGTATCGCCTTTCACTGCACACACACAGACACGCGCACGCAGTCACATTAATCATTACCATCATCAAAATACCGTATTTAAAAAAAAAAGATCGTTGCAGCCCAACAGCCATGTTCGCGCTAATGGTGGGGACAGGGCTTCCACTAGAGGGAGGCTCTTGAGAACGCCCTCTTGAGTGTATATTTTGGCCTACTCTTCCACGCTGACCAGACGTCTTCCAAGAGTTGGGAGTACCCACACTTTACCCCTCCACACACGACCATGCCGATCGACGAACTGTGTTGTACCCATTTATGATGCTGGATGGACAGAGGTGATGGGATTTAAAAAAAAAAAACTTATTATACTTTACATCAACTATCTAGCTTTCAGTGGTAAAGCTGAATGTATTAACCATGACATTTGCAGAACTGTGTTTAAAGATTATGACACTCAGGGAAATTAATCATAAAAATGTTTTTTTTTTAAATAAATGTTCGTACTGCATTCATTCTCATGTGTTATTTTTTTAAAGGTATCACTGCCTTTTTAGATGTAGTCCTCATGAGCATATGTGTTTGATTAACATTTCAATAAAGTAAAGTAATGGGAAGATGACACATACCTGTGGGGTAAATTACGAACATAATGCAAAGGCAAAGATGAGCAGCCACAGTCTTCAACATTGTCCTGGACTTGTCTTGACCTCCAAGCAAAATCTGAAACGCACAAGCTCGGCCCGGTTTCACAAAATGAGAGCTGCCCAAAAATGAATGTTACAACAAGGAAGGGATATTTATATACCGTACGCACCAGCCAACCAACACACTCACATTTTACCTGTGCGCCCTTAGGCTTGGTTGCAGCTGCTCTGCGTCATCAAATGAATTGTGACGGCTGTGATTGTAATTGGCACACGCCTCGCCTACATGGGGACATGTAGACAAATTGAACATGTCTCAATATTTCAGTGTCTTCTGGTGGCGTCATAAACCATGACTTTTAAAAATATATATATAGCTTTGTATGTAGTGCAATTACAGCAAATGCAGGAAAGCACAGGAGCCACCACAGTATGTGAAGATCAAAACGGGCCTTGTGAACACATTTAACACTGTCTGCCTCTAGCTGTGATCTTGGAAATAATAGAGAGAGAGAGAGAAGAGGCAGAAAAGGGAGAGGGAAAGTGAAAATATGAATAGCTAAGACTAAAATTATAAACTATTTATTTGACCAGATAAGGTCCACTAAGCTCTATAGTTATGTTTCAGAAGCGACCTGACAACAAATGATAGCTCAACAAAGTGACCTATCACGTGGAAATGTATAGCAGCCAAATACTCTAAAGTCTAAACGCACGTTTCTAATTGTGGAGGGGAAAAACCGGAGGACCTAGAGAAAACCCACGTGACCATGGGGAGAGAGAGAGAGATGCAGACTCCAAGTATACAGATGTCAGGGTCGGGATCGAACCCACAATCTCCCATATACTAGGCGAGGCAGTTAACATCACACCACCGTGGCGCCCAAATGAAGAAGAGAAAGGAAACGGAGAAAAGTGACCGGTGGTGAGGTATAATTGGTGTGAATGGATGGAATAAGAAACTGTTCCGCCGAAGAAGACCGGAGCTCACCGTGAACCAGAGACAGAGCTCCAGGATGATCGACGACTGGTTTGTGCAACACGTCGATATCAAATTGGATGTAAACATTTTTAAAATAAACAAGGGACCACTGTTGCCCTCTTAATGTCTAATACATTCATTAACGTAACATCCTGTTACGTTAATGAATTATTGTACTTGCAACGGGCACGGTAGTCACGCAATCTCGAAGGGATGACGACTCAGAGGCGCGAGGAACCACAGACACGCGAGAAGGCAGTCAGGCGGTGAGCTGGAACCAACGATTTCCCGAGCTCAGTGGTCCTCAACATATCAAGGGGTTATTGGTCAATTTATGAGTGTTTACATGTGGGAGGAAACCGGAGCAGGTGGAGAAAATCCCCGCGTGCAAGGTGGCAACACTTTATCCCATACAGAGCGAACAGGTGGAGTCATTTTTGCTGTACTACCTTCTGCAAAGCCCACGGGAAGGGAGTTTCGCAAAATTTTGTGCGAACCACCAACCCTCGCCTCCACAAAGCTGGATCACTGCCCAGCAGTAAAATCACGCTCCTTGTTAAATAACACGAGACCTCCAGCGAACACTTTGAATTCTTACTCTTTGGTTCTTTCGGCAAAGTCACGTAGGTATAAAATAAGTTAAATCACGACGTTTCGGGCGCAACACAAGGGTCCGTCTGTTGCGAGCGAAACGTCGTGATTTAATTGATTTAATTTTATACCCACGTGACTTTACCGAAAGAACCAAAGAGTATGGATCCCTGCAGTCACGAAAACTTCAAATCTAGATTGAATTATGTTCCATCAAATAACCTTCGACGGTGCTTCTGGTGCCACCTCAGCAGAGTGGCTGTCAGGTATTTATTTTTTGCCATTAAATCAGTTGCTGAGCACGGGCCCAAACATGTCAAGTGGCCAGCATCAAACAACACAGGTTGGAGCGACACGGTAAATCGATCAAGAGAAGATATGTTTCTTTAATTGAGTGAGGTGACACAGCGTTGGTGTACGGTGCTATTTCAGGAAAATTTAGATGTTTTTTTCCTGGATTTTCTGTTTGCACATGCACAAAGTCACTTTAAGATGTTTTCTTGTTCATGTTTTTTTTTGTTTGTTGCGGTTGCACCCGAGATTCAAGAGCCGAATGGCTCACAGGGCTGTACCAAAATAAATGAAACTATGAAACTACGACACGAAATTTGGGTTGGAATTCCAAAGCGGAGCAGTGCGAGGACAGACGCAGGAAAAGGCGTCGACGAGAAGGCGGCGTGCACGCAAGGGTTCATGTTCGTACTCGGTTTGGTTGTCATGTAAAATGTTAACGACGAAATGTACAAAGGTGATGATGCCAACAAAGGAAAACAGCCAAACTTTGAACCGATGAATAGCAGCGCAATGATTAAAAAAAAAATGCGTCGTAATCCAACCGGTCCACCAATAGGCATCTCGAGCAGGCAATCATATTCAACCAATCGCGACATGATTATTGTCTGCTCTCAAAGTCAGGTCACAACTTCTCATCGAGCAAAGTTTAATTTAGAAAACGGGGATTTAAATAAATACATTTTGCTTATTTCTCATCCATGAAAAGTAGAACGACCGGTTTTTTTTATTAATATGAATTACGTGCGATGTTTCCCAGCACGCACATTTATTTTGACACATTATCTTCGGAGAATAAAAAGAGAAGTACTTTTCACCTGGGTGTGGCCTCACCAATTGGCCCCCAGAAATCATCCACTCGGAGCTCCCTCTGGTCGCGCAACTGGCGCAGCGACCAACAACGCCACATTACCCACACACACCTGCTGGTCAGGCAGCCAACCCGAAGCGTTACCATCCGAGCAGCAGCAGCTTTTAGCCAGCCGTCGACAAAAAGACGCCCCACCGCATCGCGCTCGTTCACGATGCGACTTCTGCGGCCGTCTGGAACGCTCTCCCTTTCGATATTAGAAGAAAGCCGCTGGAGCTATGAACTTTTGAATCTGGATCTGAAACGAATTTCTTTAGAACTGCTTTTTTTGTGTTTAGTCCGTTGTCCTTTCTCCGCACCTCCGAATAGTACGTACGGCGCAAAAGAAGCTCAACATACGACCCCATTTGGTTTGTGCTCTGAGGCTACCGCCCTGTAGAAAAAAAATCGCTTTACTGGGGGTCCTCTCTCAGAGCAGATGGAGCCACCATGACGTTGGAGCCACCACTATAGGTGAGCTTTGTTTCAGCCAATCTCTGCCGAGGTGCTGGCTGGCAACGCTACAGCAGTAATCGGCAAACAAAGATGATGCGGCTGTCTCTGTCGGCGAGCGCAAAGTAAATGCCATGAGTCAAATTCGTTTTTACCCCTCTCCAGAATTAAGCCCCAATGGCGGTAACAAGAAAATGTGTCAATGTAGTGGGGTTTTTTTCAGCTTGCACACGATGAAGTTACTATACGTATGGCCAGAATACGCACAACACGTTCTGTCTACGACAGCATTTTCACAGATCAAAGCCCTCCGTTAAGGTAACCTGTGGCGTTAATTGTATTGGCGTCTGGAGGGTCTGAAATCTGGATCTGCTATGTCAGGTGGCATGACGTGACTCGCCCCTTTGAGCCACCTTCTGTGATATTTTACACCTTGCCTGCAGTACTTTACATACCTGCGAGGAGTTGGCTGCACTTTGGTGTTTCTTGAGTTATTTTTGGTTAATCTATAATGATGTTTTAGGTAGGGTAAAGAAATGGCACTATTTCTTTGAAATGCCTTGCCCGAGGGACAAAACGCACCTAGTAACATTCACAGAAATGTCAATTTTAATGAATGTCAGTATCGCATACTGTATTTGAATGTGTGATGCTTGTACTGTATGTTTTTTTTTCTCCCCGTGCAATAATGCCCTTTGTTTAGCCAGGGAAGCCGCCGATATATTTCTCAAGACTCATTTTGCAGGAAGGTCCTGTTAGACTCGGATGTTTGGCCAATTCCATTCAAGGTGGGCTGTGGGAGGAAACTTAAGTGACTGGGGAAAACACACCGATGCGTAATTGGGGATAACACCAAAAGTTCTGCGTACATCGGTTCAGCCTACTTGCTGTGCTGCCATTCCCTGACCACCTCACAGTCCAGCGGGGGTTTGAGAGATTCACGAATTTGTTGGATTGACCAACCTATCAGCCCTTGCCTCCAAAGTACCCGATTTCAGGCATGTGCCACCGCCCCTGGAACTAAATTAATTATACTGTATTAAAATCATGAATTAAATGAGTAAAACCACGTGATATGTCGAAGGCTCGTTGGCAGGAGGTTATGGAACAGGCCCAAGTGCCACATGCACACACGCACACTCAATGCTGTGGAAATTCAATTTGTTTTACATTTGACTTAATGTTTTGTTTATTATATAAATTCGTGTTTGTACTACCATATATGTTGGAGCTTTTCCACAACCCGTCTTTTACTGATCATATACTTGGAACAACAACAAGAAAAACAATCGCACCATATTTTGGTACGTCCGTGTCACACGAGCACGTTCACAGCCCTCACCTACAACGCCCAAGGGGCTGGATCGGCTTGCGAGAGCCCATACACTTCTCCCTTGTGAGATGCATGAGTATGTGGCTTGTGGGGTTCCCGTAGTGTAGAGGGAACGGCGGTGTTGCACGAAGCCTGAAGCTGACCCCATCCCACTAAGGATAGCAGGCGCCAGCAGCCTGAACCCCAAGCGGTTCAGAGGCAGCATGTCGGAGGAGAAGGAAAATACCATGAGCATGCAACACTGTCGCACAATGGTATTGAAAAATAAAGGAACACATTTGTAACGCGCGCAGTTTCCGTCCGATCCTTAGGCGTGGGAAACCACAGATAATTAATCACACCTGATGATGATTGCTTGCTTGTGTTGCAGTCGAAACGTCGTGATAATTTGTATTGTTTTATATTTTTATTATTTTATTGTTTCCCTTCCACGTGACTTTACCGAAAGAACCAAGAATATGAATACCTGCAGTCACGAAAGCTTTAAATCAAAATTTAAACCAGGCCTGGTGCTGCCAACAATTGCCCAAGCTCTGTGGCCCTAAATTGGGACGCATGGTCAACTCTATTCACGAGTGATTACGCATGAGGTTAGGAAACCGGAGCATGCGGAGACAACCCCACGCATGCAAGGCAGGCAAAGCCCAATCCACGCACAGATTGAAACAGGTGGATATTACTCCGCTTGCTGTACTGCCACATTCTGGCGAGCCAGGGTATGAGAACCTCAACATCCGTGGGTAGGGAGTTTCACTCTTTACACCATTGGAAACCTCATTTGCCAGTAACAAAATATGATAATTTTGTTTTGCTTACCCCCAGCTCTCATACTCTGATGGTGCATTGTCTTTGAGTTGTGCGCCTTTTAGGCGTCTTCTGGTCCACACCATGTGAGACGAGGCTCTAAAGAAAGCTGTCTCGGGTGTGGACCAATTAATTTCAAGGACAGTGCATACATTATCAGAGTTGTGTTTTTTTTTGCGTTCCGACCGCAGGTATTGTGGTCAATGTAAACATGACTCCTTGTAAAAAAGGTGTCAGTTTTGTTGCCAGATAAAAGGGTAAAAACAATGATCAGTTTCACTGTTGTGTTTTTTTTGCATGGGGTATGAACCCACGGATTGACAACCGCGGGTTTCGGGTTATTAGAGGCTGTCGTGCCTCCGACTGATTTTCCTCTTGTGCATTGGCGGGGACAGTGGTAAGAATAACCTCCCCTATTTAAAATGTGATCAGAGGCACCAGAGCATTGACAATCGACTGGCTGTGTGCGGAGATTTCTGGTAGGTCTCCAGTTTCTCTCCACTGTTGCTCTGTTTGGTGGCGTTTATTTTTTTTCTCCCAATTAAACACAAATTATTCCGGTTCTTACGTCGTATCCTGCATTTCCGTTAGACACTGTGAGATGTATGGCCATTCAAGTGTCGTATAAATGCAAATCTGATTGGAAGCTTTCGTGACTGCAGGAATTATTACTCTTTGGTTCTTTCGGTAAAGTCACGTCGAAAGAATATATAATAGAATACGACGTTTCGATTGCAACACAAGCAACCGTCACCAGTAAACATGTGAGAGACAAACACATACACAGAGAGAGACGCACAGAGAGAGACATACATGGGAGAGAGACACATAGAGAGTGAGACACACACATGGGAGAGAGACACATAGAGAGACACAAGCAGAGAGAGACACAGAGAAACAACGACTCTGTGACGAGGCATTATATAGAGAGAAGGGGGGTGGGTGCCTCGTCACAGAGTCGCTGTTTCTGCGTCTCTCTGTGTCTGCTTGTGTGTCTCTCTGTGTCTCTCTCCCATGTGTGTCTCTCTCCCATGTGTGTCTCTCTCTCTGTGTTTCTCTCTTTCTCTCTCTGTCTCTCTCTCTGTGTACGTATGTCTCTCTCCGTGTCTGTGTTTGTCTCTCTATCACACTTAACTTCAAATTTAGCAATATTTGGAAGAACGTAATCAACCAGGTAAAGTGTTAACTGTTGTGTTAGCCGACTCTCTGTGTTGCATTGCATTACATTTATAAGTTTACTAGGTTTGTTTTTCTTTCATTCATACCTGATGACGGTTGCTTGTGTTGCAATCGAAACGTCGTTTTCTATTATTCATTTTATTTCATTTCGACGTGACTTTACCGAAAGAACCAAAGAGTAAATCCAAACGATTATCCTTGAGTGACTAAAATATATATACTGTATATCCAAAAGGTATCATGAAGGATTCAACAAGCCTCATTCTTTTTTTAATTTTTAGTAGTCTGATACAATGCTAAGTCAAGCACCCCTGTAACAAAAGCTGTTTTTAAATTGTACAAATTATATGAAGACAAGACATGGCGCAAGCAGCTAAAAATGCAGCACCAATACATCCAGGCACGTCTTCAATTGTTACATTTAACGTACCTAGTGACTGCTTACCCGTGAAGGGCAAGTGGAGTCAAGGATAGACAGTAATGAGTGGGAAATAAAAAAAAAGAATGGCAAAAAAGAGGAAACGGTTTTTAAAAGGAACGGAGAAACGGGAGCAGAAGGTCAGAAAAGATGAGGAGGGGGAGGGAGAGGCTACATGAGGGCATCCATGCTGCTTGCATGGACGAGCAGCGTTTCACAGAGGGCGGTGGGGACAGGACAGGGATTCAGAGTGGGAATGGCCATACCGAAGTCACGTGACTTACATGATTTACACACATATGTACAGTAGATGCACACTATAAAACAAATGTAATGGCTTTTTTCTTCGATAGGAAACACAGGTGGAGCTGTGGGTCTTAAAGTTACAAGAAAAACCGAGGACACGGACACCAATTCTGACTTGCACAACAATATCACAGTGAATCAATGCGAAAAATAACTCGTACAGACTCTGAGATTGTTTAATAGGTTTTCTTCCTTTACATGCAGGTTTTACATTCATGTATGATTAAATACAGCTCTGTACACCCCGACCCCCACACATTAATACTATACCGTGTTGAGAGAAAAACAATTGACAACACCAGTACCCAGTGACCGGCAAACCTGGAAAGAGGACAATTGGGTCTCCAGATGGACTCTTCGTCTTCCTGTGGCCAGGAAGGTGTTTTCAGCTTTGCATACATTTGGATCGCCTTTCTGTTCCACAGTTTAAACGATTCCACTGTAATATACTTCAGCATTCTTGGGAATTTTCAGTGAACTCATAACAAATTGATCGCATACCATTGGCAAACTAAATAATAGCAATTATCTACTTCTATTTTATCCAGGATATTTTAATCTGTGGATTATATGACTTTCCATAATAAGAGATGTATTTTTTTTAATGTTTGCAGAAGTCAATAGCAAAGCTTCAGGCATACACAGCAGTACAAACCTAATGAAATAATGTACCTGGTCAGCCATATTTCATCAACAAAGTTTCTGTATATTAATTATCAGTCATTTCAGTTATATGACAAGAACATCATGCCTTGCTTTAGAGAAATTGTAAGTTATAATATAACGTGTCAAAATGCCAAAAATAATCAAATTAAGCCAAACAGTATCGATGTTTAAGACCAACTTTCTCATTTCAAAGTAAGAGCTTGAAGAACAATTGTCTGAAACATTAGAATGGCATTACCATCGTACATGTGGTTTTGATATTGAAACTATGACACGACATTAATAATAATAAAACGTGTTTTTTCTCATTTACTGCACCATTTATGTAACAGTAGGGATGCTGCCGAGGTGAAATGGTTAGCACACTGAACTTCCAGAAGTCGACGTTTCAAACTCCCGTCGTGGCTGTTGAAACATTGGGAAAGCTTCTTAAATCCTCCCACGTGTGTCTATCTAGCAGTATTAACCCTTTCCCGTTCCGAGACGTCTGCAAGCTGCAAGGTGGGTGTCCCGTTTACCGCTGAATCTCTGAACGCGCAAGCGGTTAGCGTTAATTTTATTTAGAGAGGCATAGCACCTTTGTTTTTAAAGATATTGTACTCACCGCAGAGAACTGTAGCGACACGACCGCACTCGGTAATAGCTGGCACCAAACTGTGCCACACGCCCTCCCGCATGGCCTTGTGGAAGCCTCGGCACTGATAACGTTATTTTTGTTTTTCACATACGTCGTCAGAACGGAATCGGGATAAAAACTGATGACGTACGCGTACGTACGTCATCGGAATGGGTTAATGGGTGCACTGCAGTCAATCGTCAGGTCTCGTGTAGTCTGGACATCTTAGAAGAGTAGACTAGATATCCTTTAGATGACCTCTCTAGATAGAGCTGCGTATAAGAGGCCTTTCATCGGTGGAGGCCTTTTAATCAGCAGTGGCATGGGCGAGCAATTGCAGGGCTGCACCGACAATTTTAAGTTAGTGTGGTTGCAACTGAGTGGGTTACAGTGACTCCTCTACTTACGAACACTCGACTTACGAACTTGTCGCGCAATAGATGGCAGTGGTGGCTTCTAAATCTGCATGAGATTATACAACTTTCAAAGCAATTCCCCGTGTTTAGTGTAAATGCCGTACAACATGTTTGGAATGGAAAGGAGTAAAGTTTGATTTACGAACAAATCGACTTACGAACAGACCTCTGGAACCCAACTAGTTCGTAAGTAGAGGAGTCCATGTATATCCACATGTTGACGAAATGGCTGAAACATTAACTGGATGGTTTTTCTCCATTGCTGCTTATGGAGACATTGGCACGTTTTGGCCAAAATTCAGATGAAAACATTAACATTCTCCAACGATTTATTTGGTTCTATACGTACCTAAAATAAAGGGCATACCAACGTTTGTATTTCTACACATGCTAAAAGTAACGTTCTAGTCCGTTTAGTCGATCGTTGGATTGTATGCACTCTACAAGCTTATTTTTGCCAATACCTCACTGGTGAAAGAAATACAGAAATAAAAACCACACGACAGTTTCCATGGTAACGGTTGCGCTGTGATGCAATTGTTGAATAAAAGTAAATGCAATTGTAAACAAACATTTATATTCTGCAAAGCTTGTGATTCTACCCATCTGAATATTTACGATTATGTAGAGAAAACATTACATTATAATTAAAAAGGATTCAATTAATTAAATGTGATCTATCGGTGTAAAAAAAATTAGCTTTTATAAATCTTTGCCATTATTAACAGTGTATGTGGCATGTACAAAAAAATACTTTCAAAGTTAAAAAAAAAACGCAAATTTGATTTTAAGATGAAGGTGAAGTACCTTAAAGACTGTTCAAGAGTGTCCGTGAATCGTGGCCCCTGTTCAAGGGTTCTGTCAAGGAGCCTGAATAAAAAGGTTTCATCGGCACAAGCGCACGCGCGCTACGCCGAGACATGTAGAACAGGGACCCACCAGCACCAGACAGACGGAGAGCTCTCAACAGCAAACAGCACCAGCGGTGAGGTTGATCTCAGCGGCTTATTGTCCACAGTTGCTGTCCTCAGCAAGTGCTCTTTGTCAAAGAAATACCCAATGCCGTGTACATTACTAGAGTTGCCACCTGCCCGGTTTATTTTCTTCTAGGAACGTCCTCTTTATAAAGGACTTCTGTCAAAAATAAAATTTGGGGTCAGTTGAAAACACATTGATCAATTCCCCCACCCCCCGCTTCTGTACCGCTACCGTTAGTCTATCTACAGACCGCACGCGGTGGCTGGAGTAAAGTTTGAGTACTCCCACTCTTTGACAAGGCGTCTGGAAGGCATTGCTTGAAAGTAGAGTAGGCCAAATCACCCGCTATGGGGTATCTATGTGTTCCCGAGACCCGGTTTTTGTCAGCTGCACAAACATACGCCGCTCAAGACAATGCATTCACGCGGAATTCCCCCTCTTCCGGTATTGTGAGATATTCATATTGCCATGTTATGCCCCGGTGTATACCTCAGAGGTGGCAACCCTAGTGTGTACTGCAGTGCACATTAAACAGGGGGGAGAAGGGTGAAGCAATACAAAGATGCGTCACAACAGACATCTCTCGGCCAACGAGTCCCTCGCAAAGCCCAGCAACGGGGTCAAAATGTGTTCCATTGTTTTATCTCGGGTCGGAACGGCTTTCTCGAATACTTCAAATTGTTCGATGCTTGGGGTGTCACCTGTGGGGCACACTGAGTATAGTTTTGTAAAGGGGAGTTTGTTTCGCTGCGTTTGCGTATGGGCCCGCCACGGATCATTCATCATTCAATGTGCAACGTCGAGTGAGGCTGACGTGGGAGTTTACATCAGTCTAACAGCTATATTGTTGTCGCGTAAATGTGTTTTTTTACGCAATCTGATGCTTCATTCGTTAAAAAACTTAGAAGCATTAACACCCTCCCCTCTAATAATATATTCACTCTAACCGCTTCCATGGCTCATTAAATATTAAATGCATAGCATTTCAAGGGGGGCCGTGGGGGGCGTTCCAGATGGATTTTGTGAACGTTGCAGCTACCCCATTTTTCCGTGACAATAATTGTTCTCATGGGAAAACTGACGCGGTGTTTTTTGTTTGTTAATAGTCCAACAACACGCGATAACGTTTCCCAGTATAGGCGGTGGTTCAGCTAATGCAGTGGTCACAGCGTGTCTGGGGAATGGAAGTTGCTGAATTCCAGGAGAATGAGGCGTTGTGAGTCGTATCAATCAGTGGCGTGCGCCGGGTCACTAGGGGCCTGCAATAAAATAAAAAAAATGAAGGAAATAAAATAGCCTTATACTACTCACCTGTGCCTACATGTCCAAGCGTTATCACCTGCGTCCTGGTAAACATTGTCAACGTTGGGCCAACGTTGACATGTGGTTGGAACCGTTGGACCAACCTTGGCCCGACGTCGTCCCATATTTACTGCGACGCTATTTAATAAGGTTTACACTGGGCAAGGTACACGTCTGTAAAGGCGGCTGCTCGTAACTCGCTCCACCTTGACAAACACGTGGGGAGTAATTGTTCACGTTTTCCATGGGCTCGCGGCCCTACACCGTGCACCGACGTGTTCACACCGCACTTTCAGTACTTTTTTTTGTATCTGTTCTTGGAAACGTATGGTTTTTGGGCCTGTACTATTATCCGATTTCGATCGGGGGTTCTTTTTGTAATTTACAGATTTAATTATTGTTTGTGTGCGATTTTTTTTAACGCCATGTGCTGTGTTAAACTGCGCTTTGTTTGTATGTTGAACGTCTTTCAGCACCGTACGCAGCTTTGCATTAACAGAGCAGATCGGGATGATTTATCGGTTGATGTTTTTTTTCTTCTTCTTCTGGCCAACAACGGGGAACACCAGCCCGAGTCACTTGCCTGCCAGAGCCTTGCTGGGCAACAATCTTGGTTTAACTTATTAAATAAGACACAATGCACCCCGCAGCACCTAACTCTTTGACCCTTCCTCGTCCCACCAACATACATTCCCACCAGCCGCCACTGATGGTATCAACGTGGGCATGAACCCGTCACAAATGTTCCTCGCACAATGGATGAGACCAGCAACGTCATTTTGGGTCCGGTGATTTTTAAACATTCCTTGGGCTCAAGATAATGCGTCCAATACGATCTATTTTTCCATTGACTCGAAACTGAACGAACACACAACAGATAACTTTGCTATAAATACAACCATATTGCTTAGAATCTGGTAAAAATATCATTGTGTATACATACATACATTATATATTTAAGTATTTGTCTTCAAACGGCTAACTACACGGGCTAATACTCTATTCTCTAATGTATACAGTGCAATACAATTAAGTACAGTATAACGTATTTTGCAATTGACCAATACCTTGCCTGGATGACTAAAACAACCACCACTGGCTAAATTAAATTCCGTTGTGCACCAAACATTTGTTTCTGCATTGACCTTTCTCAGGGACTTTGAATGCTCATTGCATGCCGTGTCAATTGGTCAAAGGTATCGGTCAATCTACAATGTGTATATACAACACCACTGACATGTTACTGTCATACATGGTGTCTTAAACCCCCTATGGGCGACATCAGCCGTCTCCCCAGTGAACGTGGAACGTTGGGCCAACGTGAGAATGCGGTTGGGAGTATTTGGCCAACGTTAGCTCGACGTTTCCATGTTTGCTGGGTCATTATCTGTGCCAAATAGTATAAGATACAAGCAAGGGTAGCCGCATATAAAACAGTGGTTTAATTTGCTTCTGCAAGTCTTTGAAGGATGTCTTCGATGAGCACATCTTTCCGCGGTCGGATTTTGTTGATGTCCGTGAACCGTTAAGAACACCATGCTGTGAACATGAATTCGGCTTTACTTGAACTCTGACGCTCATTTCGAAATTAACTTAAACTAGTTAGGCGATTATCCTAAAAGTTACAAACTTAAGGCTTTAAATGTATGTACCCTAAGAGTCTTTTTGTTGCAAAGCAAAACGCTTTGCGCACACCCAAGAATGCACCATTTGGTTACACGAGGCTCGGCCACTCTGGGGGGGGGCGGGGGGGGGGACCCGACGTTGGTCCACCGTTCCATGCTACCGGGTCGTGGTACGTTCAAGATGTATGACGTGCATTGGCCAAGAGGCCCCTTTCAGACTCTTTATCCCGACAAACGCCGGTCACATTCTGGTCACCTCGTGTACCAAACATGCCTGCGACGCACACTGGAACCTGCACAGCAACAATAAGCAGCAGCAGCAAGAAGCAGCAATGACCAAAACCAACAATAGAGAAACAATCCCACTGATGCTTGGGTTATTGCCGTATCCTGCGGAGTACTTGACAAGAAGTGGAGCAGAAACAACACCTCATTGCGGGGACGGCTGATGCCCCAGTAAACGTGCAACGCTGGAACTGTTCTGTTTGCAGACAGCCAGCTAGCTAATTAGCTAGCTAGTTAACTAGTTAGTTAGCTAGCAGGCCAGGAAACGCCTTTCGGATGTTTACATGCAGCCAACACACGGGCGACGTTGAGTTGTAACCTGAATTGCGGAGTGGATTAATCATGCTTCCAACTTATCTTGGAACGTGTTTTCACACGTTGGAACGTCTTCTTTTATTCATATTTCATATCTGCTCTCGCTCATGTACTATGACACCGGGGTTAGAGAGACACCACTGTCTGAACACATTTTGACGCAATTATTTTGCTGGAGGCGGGCGGGGCGGGGGGGGATATTTGTTACACACAAACATTGTATGTTGAAGATGGTATAGTATGTATATTTTTCATGGCGATACTGACTGATATATTATTGGAGGTGGTCCGTTAAACAAATAAGGATGGTTACTACTACAACAACTGCAAATTGTACTTTGCGCTACGCAGCATATCGTTTTACATTTCTGAGTTAAATAGCATTTCACCACCCGCCCCCTCCCCCGTTGTGGTAGAGGGAGATTTACATGTAAAGCAAAAACATGCACAATTGCACACTCACGCAACTTTGTCTGGCATACCACATTAAACGTGACCGCACTAGGACAAGTAGGCCTCGCACCATACAAGACTTCAAGCACAGGTTATGGTGGAGCAACGAGCCAAGCAGATATAGGATGTTCAAGTCTTTGCAGCGATATATAAGGACATTTTATGGTTGCCTCTGTGAACTGTGATGTGAGGCAAACAAGCTGTGGAGTGTAAATAAAAGTTGCTAACTTTTGTAAATGATGGAAAGAAGGTGAATTTTCTCTCAGCAGATAACGACAACCCCCCCCCCACCGTTCCCCTCCAGCCTTCCCCATGCAGACTCCTTACATTCATCGTGGGCAGAATACAGCAGTGTCTTCTGAAAGTATAGCATGAGTAAAAAAAACGTCGAGCTAAATACAGGAGTTGAATCTACATTCAAAAAGTGCAATGTGACTTTTAAAATCTAACATGTGACTGCAATAATAATAATAATAGTCCGTTCTAAACATTAAAGACAATGTGATAACTCTTCTGCATCTTGACTTGTCATGTGTGTGGTATTTCTTTTTTGGTTGAAAACATTTTGGCGCTTTGGGGTAAAGGAGACGAATCAAGACAACCTCCACATAAACAAGCAGGTGATTCAATGACGATGCTCCGACTTCAAGATTGAGTCTCGCGAAGGAACACAGGGACAACGTGACACACGCAAGGTCATTCACCGCGAAGGAGAGTGCCGTGAGCAACTTCGTGTCGAATTGACGCCTAAGAGTCACCCACGATGGACGCCTACAATCACCCTTAGGTGACATCAGCAGGCATGGACAGCACACTCCCACAACAACAACAACAACAGGGACATGTTACATTTTGAAGAGAGAAAAAAAAGGAACCATCAACAATAAACATTTATATGAATGTTCACTGGCCCACAGCAAGGCAACTATCATGCATATATAGTGTTGATTGATTTTTCAATTAAGCCTTCTGATGAATACAATGTCCGAAGATGCTAACTCTCTTTAAGTCCCATTACACTAAAGTAGGAATAGAAAGCTGGCATGCAATGTCATCTATTTTTTGACACGCTTCGTATGCGCAGAATTTTGTCTCCCTAGGCCCAGCGCACATGCAAATTTCAATTTCGCCCTGGGTGTCGACGGCGACGAAACGAGATCCTGTGCACAGAGTCCGTGCCGCTGGTGGCGTTCTGACACGACACTCCCATCCCAGCGGGACCAATGCGCGCAGTCGTGGTTGAAACTGACAAAGATCGCCTTTCAAAGGAAACGCTGTCGCCAACATGCTGTAAACACCGCAAGACATTCCCACATCTCTTTGGAGTGCAAGTGTGTTAATTTGAAACAAAGTGAAAGACAACCCGTTAGCCGTTTCGGTTTTGTCCACATCGATTGTCATCCTTTACCATAGAACTGTGGACTCGGCAAGGTGTTTGTGTGTTATTGCCACGCACTGCGGCACGTCGCCAGCTTTGAGACACTCAAGTGGCGTTGCCCCTCCGAGCGAATTTTGCTTTTTTTTCTGGGGATGCTGCAGAATGCGTTTGTGTGCACAGGCTCTGTGTGCCGACACTTGCATCAACATCAACAGCGAGTTGCAATGTGTGCGGGACTTATGAGCTAACGCTGTCGGAATACCCGGGTACGATTCCTCATGCAACTGTGCCTCGACCCGCAAGAGAAACCTTAGCATCATCGGTGGTTTATGCCACTTCAAAAAAACACGTGCATTCCATTCCTGTGTTAACGTAAGAGCTGGGAGTGTGACGTTTGATACACGGTTGGGCACTGTTTCCCTTAACCTTCGTGACTACGTACTGATAATAAGTGCTGCCAGCTGCATTGTATTGTGATGCCCCTGAAACTACAAGATGAATTATTAGCATGTTACCAATCATTGCACGTTGAACACCAATGGGCTTGATGAGGTTTCGGGTCATAATGGAAACAGATCAGTTCGAGCTCCAACGATCCATGCTGTGTGAGCTCGTATCATAGCATAACGCCGTCTCAGTGCGCATGTTCTCTCTCTCTCCGATAGTTTGTAAGTTGATTTAAAAACATCGTCTTGTGCAACATGAAGCAATTGCAAAAGCTCCCCGTGTTCAACTACCTCAGCAGCAGCAGCAGCAGACAAAAGCAAACAGCGTTGGTCAATCAGTTTCACGTTTTGACATTTGTACACCTCATTTGATCCTTTTTGCCTTCATGCATTTCTTGTTTCTTCTGCTCTCCATTCACTCCCAGTCCGTGCCATTGGTGATGGAGGTTGATTTGGTGATGATAGCTGGTGGCAACTGAAATCAAGATGGGACATCCAGGTTGTCAATCGGTGACAAATGATGTTGCTCGGAAGGTAATTCTTGAAGCAGAGGTCTTATTTCTCTGGTGTTTTGATGGACGCAGACGCACCGCGTGGATCATTCAGCAGCGATGCACTCTGAACACCTTCACATGACGAGACCTTTTCAAAGATCGGGTTGAGAAAGGAATCACCGGAACACCGGCCGGAGGTTTTTTACCTCCTCAAGGCGGGCACAGAGGCTGGGATGCCTGGGGAGCTCATATGGTAACCGGGCAGTGCAGGGTTCGAGTCTCCAGCATGACGCTTATGATGAGGAACACAAAGTAAAGCAGGAACATGCAGAATCCCAGCAGCTTGTTCATGTGCCAGCGGCACGCGGCGATGGTGAGGATCACGAAGAGCAGCATGAGGAAGAGCAGCACGATAGCGCAGAAGAGCCCGTTGCTGCTCACCTGCACCGGCGCAAAGCCCTTCACCAGCGAGAACATGAGCCAGGGCATTGGCAGCCTGTGCACCACGTGGCCCAAACACACCGGCACCACCAGTATTAGCACAATGGATGACGGAGACGATACCCAATGCGATGACTGACAATGCCGTAATTAACACGTAGGCTCTTACGACCAATATCATCCGTAATAAAGGTTTTTTGGGTTAGATCGCGTAAACGTAAATGTGTCGTTAAACCCGCCGCCACCCGGCACAGCCAATTTGTAAGGTTTTTCACGGAAACAAAACATGCCCAGTTGTTGCTAGGACAGCACACCGGTGTGTTGGAGAGTAAACCTCGAGTATTCGAATAGTAAATATTGTGGATTTACTCTCCAGCACACCGGTGTGCTGTACTAGTAACAACTTAAATTTCGATTTAAAGCTTTCGTGACTGCAAGGATTCATCTTCTTTGGTTCTTTCGGTAAAGTCACGTAGAATGAGAATAAAATAATAAAATAAAACAATAAAATTCCCACGACGTTTCGGCCACAACACAAGTGGCCTTCTTCAGGTGAAGGAACAAACCTGGTGGCCGAAACGTCGTGGGAATTTAATTGTTTTATTTTATTATTTTATTCTCATTCTACGTGACTTTACGGAAATAACCAAAGAAGACAGTAACAACTTGGCATGTTTTTTTTTACCGTGACAAACCTTACTAATTGGCTGTGTCGGGTGGTGGCGGGTTTAACGACGCATTTATATTCATAAGATCTAACCCAAAAACCTCTGTTATGGATAATACTGTTCTGAATGCCTTGCTCCAATGTTGCACTTACAAAGCGAAAGTCTGTTGCAGGACTATTATGCTAATTATTGCAAATTATTTACACAGGAAAAAGTAACTCTTGGAGTCTCCAAGAGTTATTTTAAGGAGCGTCATGCACTGGGATGTTTGGCCAATTCTTTCATGTTCAGCATGTGGGAAGATACCAAATAACCTGGAGAAACCCTACATATATGAGGGTTAACACTTCAAACTAAAATTAAACTTTTTACTTTATCAGGTAAGGCCCACATGAGTTAAACAGCTCTTTTTCAGAAGCAACCTGGCCACAAATGGTAGCTGACCGAATTGGATTATCATGTGGAAGTTTATGGCAGCCAAGTAATCTAAATGCATGTTCATTCTAAATGTGGAGGGGAAAACCGGAGGACCCGGAAAAAAAATCCACGTGACCAGGGAGAGAACACGCAAGCTCTAAATATACAACAGGCATCGGGGTTTGGGTCGGGATCGAACCCACGACCTCCTGTATACCAGATGAGGCAGTTAACATCTCCTAGCCACCGTGGCACCTCTGGCAATTAGCACTGCCATACCACGGGCACCTACAACACTTGACAAGCCCTGGTGGTCACCCACTTAAGAACTAACCAGGCTCAAACCTTCTAGATTTAAAGCTTTCGTGACTGCTAGGATCCATACTCTTTGGTTCTATTGGGTAAAGTCACGTAGGTGACTTTTTGGCCGAAACGTCGTGATTTTTTGTTATTTTATTTTCACCTACGTGATTTTACCCAATAGAACCAAAGAGTAAGGCTCAAACCTGCTTATTTCCCAATATCCAACAATGTTGGTTGAATTTATGGTCTTCTAGACAAAGGCAACGTGTTTGCAACTTCAAGACCGCTGACAGTGTGCGATGCGGAAGTTCTAGGGTGCTTACAAGTACAGTTTATACGATACATTCATTTTGAAAAACAGATGATACCCGGATATTTAGATCATAAGAGCCTGACATGGTCAGATTTATATATGTACAATAAGTTAGCTCTTTGCTGACTGAAATCGATTGATGGAACACTGAAAATCCGGGTCTGTGACAAGAGCATGTTCTCTGCCTGCCTGTAGTATTTTACCTCTGATGCCCAATATGATTAATAAAAACCAACAGGACAGCAGCCTTTAATATCGGTGCAGCTATATCTCTGCGTTTGTGCGTTTTAAACAAAGTTGAACAGAGATCCATACGTGGCATTGAATCTGCAACTCCCTTGGAATATTTCTCAAAACACATTATTTCTGTCTTCCCAATCAGTTATATTTTATTTCAAATTAACATTCAAAAGGGGGCTCCCACCCTACGAAAATGAATTAGCTAATACATGAGAGCACCTAGGAAACCTTGCCGTTGTATATTGTTGTAGCACCACAGTACCCCGTGTCAGAGAACGGCCCCGAGATGATGACATCACATCACTTGTTCTCGAGACACTTCAAAAGGCCTATTTATCGAGATTTGGGGAACACGCCTCGTAACATTCCGAATATATCTTCTTTGGTTCTTTCGGTAAAGTCACGTAGAATGAGAATAAAATAATAAATAACACAATAAAATTCTCACGACGTTTCGGCCACAACGCAAGCTCTGTCGTCCCGACAGTTCTGTACCTTTCACCTGAAGACGGCCGCTTGCGTTGTGGCCGAAACGTCGTGAAAATTTGATTGTGTTATTTTATTTTATCAATTTATTATTTTATTCTCATTCTATGTGACTTTACCGAAAGAACCAAAGAAGATGAATCCTTGCAGTCACGACAGCTTCAAATAAAAATTCTGAATATAATTTTCATCACGTGTGAATTGACGTCTCAGACATGTAATTTAGTCAAATTAAGTGTAAAAATTACGTGATGGGTTTTTTGCAACAACTAGTGACCAGGTTGAGCCCATAAAACCCACGACACTTCAGAACCAAAATTAATTATAAAGTGACAGCTCGGCTTTGAATCCTAAGCACCAAACAAACTTGTTCACTACATTTTGAAGTAACAAAAAGACCAAAACGAATTTACAATATCATCAAGCTGTAAACATAACTTCAGCATCTTAGGCAACTGTTCACAGTATTTAGTAAATAATACTGGGTAGGTTTTTTTCAGTTGTGCTGTGTAGCTCTCTCCCATGGGTTTACGGGTTACTCCACGTGCTTTTCACCACCATGTCCGACGTTTCGCTCCACATGCTGCTGGCTTCTTGTTCAGAAACTGAAGTTCCGTTCCCAGTGTGTGAAGAACAACATTGTGCATTGTGCTGAACAACACGTGATACAATCACGAAACCCATCGGAGAGGGTGTAATGAAGGCGGTGGTATGTTTTGATGAAAGTGGCAATGCGGTGTGATACTCTCTCACCCCACGGTGATGTCAAAGATGTTGCTCCCCACGGAGCTGGAGACGGCCATGTCGCCCAGTCCCTTGCGAGCGACGATGACGCTGGTGATGAGGTCAGGGATGGAGGTGCCGGCCGCCAGGATCGTCAGCCCCATGATCTCCTCCGTGATGCCAATGGTCTCCCCAACCTGCGCTCGTAATGGGGGACGTTCACGGCATCAGTCGGAGGCACACGGCATCGTCCAAGCTCTGCCTCGGTCACTCCCACCGCCAAGGTATGCTTTTAAGATGCCAAACTCTGCTTCGTACGATACAGCCCACACTGCAATGTCCATAATGCGTAACGTTGAAATATCACTGGTTACTGTCACCTCTTAGCCACTTGGTCACCTTGAAGCAAAGGAAGTTTGTGATGTTAGGGGCCGTCTATAAATGACGTCACGCGATTTTGGACGATTTTTGACCCCCCCCCCTCTCGTCACACGGCGTCACGAAAAGTCAGACCCCCCCTCAAATATGACGTCACAAAGCTCTGCCCCCCTCCCCCCAAAACCATATTTCCATTTTGAAAATAAAACATGCTTCACATCACTTTAAACTATTGTCATTGTAGTGCGTTGTAGGAGAAAGCATTTATTAAAAAAGTCTATTTAATTAAGTAGAACGTGTTGTCTATATTTATTCAAAGTTGCCCATGTTGATGTGACGTCACATTTCTCAACCCCCCCCCCCTCGTCACACTTCGTCATAAATGTCTGACCCCCCCCCCCCAGGTGCGTGACGTCATTTATGGACGGCCCCTTATGCATGGCGTCACAACGTTGTATGGAAAGGTAAAATCACAATAGCTACATTGTGGTTTCATGGCGTCCATGAGTGCGTGACATCAGCTGGGTCCACTGGAGAGGTTTGTAAGCAGAGGACTCGCACATGTTGTTCCAAACAAATGTCTTGTTTTAAAGTAAAACCTGCACTGGCACAGACCTGGAACATTACCATTCGGTATGGAATGATCACAATTTCATGATTGTGATTCCATGCAATTCTCTCTCTGTCTCATTTTGTCTCATTTGTATTGTTTCTCATTTGCTCTTTCTGTGTATTGCTCTCCTTCACCCCATTAATCGAAATTTTAGTTTAACATGTGATTTGCATAAGTAGTAAATCTGTTCTCACACGCATGATTCCATTGCATGTATTATGAGCAAAATAATACATTTAAGTCTAAATTGATGAGCCTATGGCATTCATAATAAGAATGCCTATTTGTGCAGACAATGAGGAATTTATATTCTGCTAGCTGGGAAAATAAATAAGTATTAATTTCAATAAATAAATACGAAAAATAACAATTTGTAGCTCGCAAGATCTCAGAAAACCGACAAATTATTGTTTTTATTTAAAGCTTTCGTGACTGCAGTAATTCATATTCTTAGTTTTTTCGGTAAAGTCACGTTGAAGGTAAACAACAAAATATTATTTTGTTGTTTCCCTTCAACGTGACTTTACCGACAAATTATTGTTTGCGCCGTGAACTTGGAGACGTGGAAGATCTAGCACTCGTGGCTGCTGTGAAGTCACCTGGTGAGCCCACCACACCATGAGGTAGGAGAAAATGGCGATCCAAAGGATGGAGCCGAAGAAGGTGACCATGAAGAACTTTCTGGAGCGCTGGCAGAAATACAATGACAGACGTCGAGTCATCTCACTCGCTCCGAGACACAACATAGGACATTAATTTTCAGTCGTTCATCTGATTATTCTCCATCTATTTCACTCGATCTATTGGCCTTGTGGGTAAGAAGCGACGGCAGCCACGTCAGTTAAGATACTCATATATTTCAATGCTATTAACGAGGAGTGGACAAACCACATTGAGAGCCACACACGGGGCTCCCGGGCCATATGGGCCTCTGAAGAAAAAGAAGATGCAGCTCATATTTGACTTCTCATGAAAAAAAAATGCGGAAGTGGCAACGGCCTGGAACAGTCGCTTCTGGCAGCGGAGCCAGACATGAGCACTCATGGTGGGGCTGCTCTCTCACAGACGTCTAAGTTCAATACTTCAGAACTGACCAGTTTGAGCCAACTGGCCGTCTGATCACCCCGCTCCTCCAATTATCACGGTTGGCTACATACGGCGCGAAAAAGAAGTTCAGCATACATACATACTAAACTATTAAACTAAACAATGTTTTTTTTTATTTTACCAGGTAAGGCCCACTGAGCAATACAGGTAATGTTTCAGAAGCGACCAGGCCAAAATTATAGCTTAACGAAGTGGCTCACCACGTGGACATTTAAAGCAGCCAAATACAACACTTTAAACGCATGTTTCTAAATATGGAGGGAAAAACCGGAGGACCCGGAGAAAAATCCATGCAACCATAGGGAGTACATGCAAACTCCAAATATGCAGGCGTCGGGATCAAACCCACAACCTACTATATACCAGACGAGGTAATTAATATCTCGCCACCGTAGCGTCTTGTACAGCTCTTAACGATACTAATGTTTTAGTTTGTGGCTCGTGGGACCACCCGCGCTATGCTGTATCTATTCGAACCGTTCGTTGTGATTGAGGGAAACGTACGTGATTGCGGACATCAGGCAGGGTGATCCAGAGAGGCAGAACCAGCGGCAGTAAGAAGACGTAAGAGATTTGCTTCTTGGTCGACTCCGGCCACCGCATGCTCAAGGGCTTCTCCTCCTCCTCCTCTTCCTTTTCGTCACTCGCGTCATCCACCGACTGTTGTCAGAGAAAAGCAGCGGTCAGTGCTGTGAAGCGATTCATGGCAGACCGCCAATCATGTAGGTATGGATGTTGAACTTTTTTCGCATTGTAAGTAGCCAACGGTGCTAACCAGAGGTGCGAGGAAGTACAACAAACCAAATACCAAAAGCAGTTGTAAAGACAGTTTTCAATCTAAAGTAGGGTGACGAGGTGTCAACTGGTATGCAGGAGGTTATGGGGTCGATCTCGACCCTGATGCCTGTTGTATATTTGGAATTTCCATGTTTTCCCCATGATCACGTGGATTTTTCTCCAGAGTATTTGGCTGCTATAACTTTCCACGTGATAAGCCACTTCGTTGAGCTATCAATTGTGGCCAGGTAGATTCTAAAAAAAAGATCTACATGTATATAGTTCAGCAGGACTTATCTGGCAAAATAAGAAGTCTAGTTATAGTTTAGGATGCAATGTTTCGAGTGATACGTTATTTCACAGTTGCCAAAGGATGGGTCTTTTAACGTCCTCGAAAAATGGATTGCCTAGGATAGCTACCACAAAAAAAATAGGCCAATGCTGGCAAAAAACCTGTGGTGGTGGCATCCCTACTTGTGCACCGCGTGCGCAGGTTCCTCTTGAACCCACCTGGCTTGCACCATTGGCAGCGTCGGTCTTCTGTGGGGCAGCCCTGCCGTTGGGTTTGTTGCTCGGAGAGATTGTCTCTTGGGCAGGCGAGGTCAGGCCCGGGCTGTCCACGTTGGCTTCATTCTCCCCTGCTGATAAACCAGACGCAGACGATGCATTTGATAACGACTGTCTATCGGTGTGCTCCCCAGGGTTAAGTTTATATTTTTCAAAACACGTTTTTTTTTCACCAGGTAAGGCCCGAAGTGACCTGGCCTCAAATATATAGCTCAACGCAGCGGCTTATCACGTAAAGGGGAGTGGGGGTAGATTGGGATGACTGCTACACCCAAGTGGGGGGCATCTTAGCAGAGAAGCGAAAGTTGTTATGGGGTGAAAGGTGAGGGGGGAGATAACTAACATGAAAGGGGAGAGAGGGGATGGGGAAGAGGGGCGAGGGGGCTGGGGATTAAAGATGCTGTTCAACATAAATGTTATTTCAACACGTAGGCTTTCGCGACCCAATATTATCCATAATTGCCATGTTTTGTTTTTGTGACAAACCTTACTAATTGGCTGTCGGGTGGTGGCGGGTTAAACGACACATTTATATTTACGTGATCTCACCCAAAAAAACTATTATGGATGTGTTATGATTATGTTCCAAATAAAATAGCGACAATATAATTTACATTTCTGGCAGCCAAGGAATTGAATGCGTCTCAGAGGTCAAATATGAGAGACGGAGCGATGAAATCAGATGGTGTGCTGGTGGTAGTTGGATCGTGAGAGATGGTAACGGCATTGGCGAGGCTTTCATCCAGCATGGTGATTAAAATTGCCGTTGTCTCTGCGGTGTCCATCCATCATCTCTGATCTGTCCAAATGCCCCCCTGGTGTCAGTGAATCATGGCCGTTGATCAATTGTGAGTGATTTAATTAGCGTCACAATACGAGTTGGCTGCTCTTGTGAATGGTCATCCGCCTGCTGGATAACAAAAAAAGCGCCATTGCACTTCGTTGTCGACGTGTTACCGGACGAGCGTCACCGACATTTCCTGAAGAAGCCAAAATTCAGCTTCAGAGCACCACGTGCTTGTGGGCCTGAAGGCCTCTGCAGAAATTGAAAATTCAGCTCCTTATAAAGGGATGCTCACAGCAAGCGGGGCAAAACGTTGGGTATGGTGCCGAACGAACCGAAAACCACGTGGGAGTAGCTGTCAAGACAACTGAGCTGTGGCTCACGTGTGATTGGTGTCGGTTCAGCGGGGCTGGTGGACAGCCTCTTATTCTTCTTCTTGGCCTCTTTCTTCGCTACAGCGACGACCGCTGCTGTCTGCTGCTGCTCCTGCATGCGTGCTGGGGACACACACACACAGCAGCAACAGTCGGCCAGCGCACGGGCACACTGGCACAAATATCCCTCGCATAGCCTGAATGGACTTTTGGGGAAAGTGATGTTAGCGATCATCCATGACCCTCCGATTAGCACGGTTGGCTATGTACGTTGCGAAAGAAGTTCAATATACATACAAAGCCAGCACGGCACACGAGGGGGTGGGTGGCCAGCACCACGCCCGACCGCTTTTGTCTCCCCAGTGGCGATGTTTACACACTGCACCAAGTACTCATTTGAGGCTGAGTCGACCTAGGGGATGAAGGCCCAGGACTGGGTCTGGTGCGGATAATCGCCACTGTTGTTGGTGGCCGTGAGTGAGAATCGAACTCGGGTCGCCGGGTTCGTCACGCGGCGCACTAACCTCTGCGCCACCGCTCCCGCACTTGGACAGACAGGCACGTGGGAAAAAGAGAGGGGAGAGCGATGCTGTGACGCTTAATGGCTTTGGGCTTCTCTGAGTTGGGGAGAAAGCTGTATCGGGGAAAGAAAACTTGACTAAAGAGGAATACGGTTGATCTATTTCATTGCCCGCAACTCCTATTATCCACAGCAGCTGTAGGATTTCTGAAAAACTCCGACAATTTTGCATCTCAAATATTGTTTTCCACGATTTTCTGTCATGGATAAATGGGATAAAAGTGCAGTTGACATAGTAAATAAGTGTCCACGATGTTCGTCCTCCACATCACCATGGATAAGAGGAATTCGACTGTATTTAACTGTACTGTAGGAAAGGTACAACATATACTACAGAAGCAAGACGTTTGCCGAGTCATAATTCGTACAATAATTTTGTGTTGATGGTGTTTCTGTTCCTTTCAATAAACAACACATCTTGATTTAAAGCTTTCGTGACTGCAGGGATTCATATTCTTGGTTCTTTCGTGAAAGTCACGTAGAAGGGAAACAATACAATAATAAAAATATAAAATAAAATATTGTTTTATATATAAAATATTAAATAAAATATTGTTTTATATTTTTATTATTTTATTGTTTCCCTTCTACGTGACTTTACAGAAAGAACCAAGAAAATAAACAACACATCCTTTATATTTAGTTTTCAAATATATACTTTTGGTAATACATGCAGTGCACACGCTGTTAAAACGTTCTCCAGGTTCGTAAACCACAAGTTATTTTCAAGTACCTTTTGATTTAAAATATAACAATGGGCTACGATTTGCGGGAACAGTCGATACGCCGTACTGAGTTGGCAGTGAGAGAGAGTGGCTGAGTTGGCATCACCTCGAAGATGTGTAAAAAATGCCATCGGCTATTATAATTTTTAATGTCAATACTCTACGGTAAAATGTGTCCATCGATGGGCTTACATATAAAGCACTAAGTAATACACCGCACCTCCGTGTCCTTGAATTGTTAATGCATACGTTTGTACAAAAGGAACATTTACAAAAAGACTGAACTTGCACCATTGGTAATTTATGTTGCTAAACAGGAAGTCATTGAGCTGATAGTGCTGTATTGACAGATACATCTCATATCCCAATTCAAATGCAATTGAGTGAAAGGCCCGAGAGAGGAGACAATATAGCAGGAGAATAAAGACAGCCAGAGAGTTAGACATGAGATCAGCCAATAGGTATTGTGAGACAGACATTGACCCAAAAAAGTCATAGTTCAAGGCTGGCGAAGATTTTTTTGCGCAGCCAATACAACAGAACGTTGATACGAAATACATTTCCAAAAAGCATCTCGTAATTCTTGTTCAAGAGCAACTGGAAAAAGTGAGCTAACCAAACATAAAGGAATAATAATATTTCTCTTTCCTTCTTGAATAGTTTTTTTTACATGAAAAGTCCGTGACGGAAGTTGCACCCATATTCATACAACTCCGGTGTACGTGATGAACTTCGTGTAGCCCGCTTTGAAGCCTGAGGACATGTGACATTTTTACGACACCTTTCCACATGCACGTAGAGGAGGAGGAGGAGAGCAAACTATTATGGCACAACATGACTCGCTCAGTCACAGATGATCAGTGCGTTTTCACTTTTCGTTTTATATGGAATTCATTTTTTGCCGGGCTTCTGACGATTACGATTATTTTGGGCAGAAAATGTAAATAATTATGTTCAACCAGGATAGCTTCACTAAGTGTAATGAGTCATTTTCAGGAGGGTCCTGCCAACTTTTCACTTAAGAGGAGTGATGATATTCTTGGTTCTTTCGGTAAAGTCACGTAGAAGGGAAAAAAATAAAATAATAAAAATATGAAACAATAAAATTCTCACGACGTTTAGACTGCAACACAAGCAATCATCATCAGGTGTGAAAACCAGAGCATGACTTTACCGAAAGAACCAAGAATATGAATACCTGCAGTCACGAAAGCTTTAAATCAGGAGTGATGATTACAATGTATATTCAAATTGAGTCATTTGCTGGTATTCTTTCAAATCTGGCGAATTTGGTCTGTTGCTGCCAGCGCCCAATGGTCTACTCTTGTGAATTGCGTCTTGGGATCTTTAACATCCACCGTGAAGCAGATGACACGGTTACAATACCCACAAGTAATTGGCGGGGCGGCCACTTTATCCGAACCACGAACCTCTGCAACAAGCGGCGAACGCGCTACCGCCAGTTCACCGCCCCATCGATGAATGACCTTCAGATTCAGTTTATTTATTTTGGTATAGCCCTGTGAGCCATTCGGCTCTTGAATCGGGTGAAACCACAACAAACAAACAAAACTAAAACACGAACAAGAAAAACATCTTAAAGTGACTATGTGACTGTGCAAACAGAAAATCCATGAAAAAAAACCAGCAAAATATTCCTAAAATAGCACCGTACACCAACGCTATGTGCAAAAATCCCAGTGGGATGCAAGTCAAACAACAACAACCACCACAAGAAAACTTAGATTAAGGCCATCAGTCTAACTCCGTACTACAACAAAACAAACATGTCCAAACCAAAAAACATTTTCGAAATCACCAAAAAATAAAGCCATAATTGCAACGTAACAGTGATCACAGGGACTGTGACCGAAATTTTACAATAAACTACATAAATAACATGTAACACCAAATCCTAGAGCCATAGCTGGCTGCATGAGTTACTCCACAACAACAGAAGCATCAGTCGGAGTATCAAATTTTTCAATGCACCTTTAAGATCAGCACGCTAAATCAAAATACAGATAATACTTTGCAGCGTCATCCGGAGCGAAACATTTTATTTTATTTTACGCCAATGAATAGCAGTGGCAGCTAGGGGTGTACAACTCCTCTAGAGCAGTTTTGAGAGAAGATCTCATTGGTAGCGATTCAAGTTGCAGTTTATTGGCAGTAGCATTCCAGACCCTGGGGGCATCAATAGCAAAGGTCCTTCCTCCAGGTTTGTACGGCAATAGGGAATGTGAAGCTGGTAAATGAGCGAAGACCTGAGGTCAAATTTGTTCTTTGAAACGGAGAGGAGATCCAGCAGGTAGTCTGCGGATTTTTTTGTAAGTACATAGTGAATAAATAAGATCTGGTGCACAAGCCATCGAACATTAAGAGATGTTAAATTTGACCCACTGTAGAGATCACAGTGGTGAGTCCTATATGGGCAGTTCAATGTAAATCTTAAGGCCAAGTGATAGATTGAATCAAGCTTCTTCAGTACAGTACATGGGGATGATTTATACACGATGTCACGGTAGTCAAGTAGAGGCAGTATGGTAGCTTTTATCAATTCCAAACGGAACAGTGGGGGAAGCAGTGCTTGTGTCGATACATAAAACCAATTTTTACTTTTGTCTTTTTACCAATATAATCAATGTGATCTTCAAAATTCAGTTTTGAATCCAGGATGACCCCAAGATACTTATAGATCTTGACTTGCTCTATTTGATAATTATTTAAGGAATGTAATTGGAGAAAAATAACTTCCTGCTTTAGTCCAAGTGAGAAGCATAGCACCTTGGTTTTGGAGGTATTCAGGACTAGTTTAAGAGCAACTAGCTGATGTTGTAGTTTGTTGAAATCAACCTGTAGCTTAGCAATCACGTCATCCGGAGAGCGGCCAGCAGTAATCAGTATCGTGTCATCTGCAAAAAGATTTACCCTGGAATGATCCAGGTCAGTGCCCAAGTCATTGACATAAAGAGAGAACAAGAGGGGGCCGAGGATGGAACCCTGTGGAACCCCTTTTGTTATCTTAACATTGTTTGACCTCCAACCATCTGTGAATACAGTTTGGGTGCGAGAAAAGAGGTAATTTTGTAAGCATTTTACTGCGTTTTCAGAAAAACCGAGGCAACTTAGTTTACTAAGCAGGGTGTTGTGGTCTACTGTATCAAAAGCTTTGGACAGGTCTAGAAAAAGACAGGCACAGTACTGCTTATTATCAAGGCTACTGTAAATGTGATTCAGAGAGTCTAATGCAGCAGATGTGCTGTATTTTTTTTCAGAACCCAGATTGTTTTAGATGTAGTAGATTGTTGGTGGACAGGAAACTGCTAATTTGGAAGGTCAATAATTTTTCAAAAATTTTCATCAACGGGGACAAAATTGAGATAGGTTGGTAGTTATTTGGATCATCTTTGGTCGGTAGTTATTTGGATCATCTTTAGGGCCCCCTTTGTGAAGTGGACGGACATAGGAATGTTTCCATTCTAGAGGAACTGATGCTTCTTTGATGGACAGGTTGAAAATGTGGGCTATAGGTTTGTATATTAGGTGACCAACAGTTAGTAGAGCAAAGACGGGAATACTATCTGCTCTGGTAGAGGAGGACCCTTTGAGGTGTGACAGTTGTTTCAGAACATTACTTTCGTGGATTGGCTGGAAACTAAATTTGTTTAATGTTTGGACAGGGGTGTAGGAATTAGCATGAGCAGGGGTGACTCCCAATACATTATCAAAAAGATTACCAGCTTCAGAAAAATGAAGGTTAAAATTGTCAACTATTTTTTTGGGATCTGAAAAATATTCCCCATTTCGGTTAAGCT